GCAAAAAGAGATTAATCAAAGCAAAACATTTATTCAGAAACCTAGTACATTATTACATATTAAGTAGACATCTTAATGAAAGCCCTCCTAATCTCTTGGACTGGGTGTGGGATGTAAGTGGCGTAAGCCGAGGACTTCCAGCGACCCAGTGTCTTAATCACGTGTACTGGGATGTGGAGATAAATGGCGGTTTTAATAACAGCGCAACGCCTTTAACATGTGCAAATAGCACACCGGATTTAGCCAGACAACCAGCCCACCTCCCCCCTTTCCTGTGTAATGCCGGCGGGAAACAGGGACTCCTTACGGTAAAGAAGTCTCTGAGGCCTGTTCCCACCCGTGCCATGTAGTTTACCCCCGACAAAACCCAGCCCACCGTCCCCTCAATCTATGTAATGTTGATGGCCGGCGGGAACAAGGACTCCTTACGGTAATGGAGTCTCTGTGCCTGTTCCCGTCCGTGCTGTGCAGCCCAGCGAGTAATGTTCCCCCTGGCTCACCGCCCCGTCGAGCTGGGGGAGCCGGCGTGTAGGTGCTGGCATGTGCCAAGTACTCACCATGTGACGTCGAAAAAGTGCCGTGTCTCACCGGAAGGGACATAGCACAACAGGAAGCCGGAAGGGAAAAGGCCGAGAGTATCACGCTGTTCGTCACTCTAGACCAACGAAGGTAAGTAAGGGAAGGGGGGAGTCCCTTAAGTAGGTCTATAGCCCCTCCCACAACTTCAGGCCATGCCTTCCAATATATATTAATATTTAGTATTTATTTTTTCCAAAGGAAATGTAGCAAGCATGTAATATCACCTTACTCAAGCTTTTGTCATCCAGAAACACAGTATAGTGAATATGCGCAACTCACCAACACAAAGACCAATATTTTGTCACATCTTGACTGTTAATAGTCTCTAATGAAGGCTGTGTAAACAACATTTTACTCGACTTGTCGGAAAGGGATCTAAAACTGCAGTGACTCACTAACTTTATCTACAAGGAGTTCCTTCCAGGCAAAAGTAGCACACATATCAATACTCACTTAAGAGACTATAGTCACCAGACCAACTACATCTTAACGTAGTTGTTCTGGTGTGTATAGTCGGTCCATGCAGGCAATTTTAATGTAAACACTGCCTTTTCATAGATACCACTTTTGTCAGTTACTCACGCGGCAACTTGAGGTGCTTCCTGTGTCTCTGCATGGAGACGCTGAATGCCCCTCATCGAGATATAGTGATTCAATGCATCTCTATGTGAAGATACTGATTGGCGCAGCTCAGTATTTTGCCGTGCATGCTCAATAGCCTCCCAATGTTTTCCTATGGGAAAGCATTGTATTGGCTGAGATAGTTAATTTTGATGATCTCAGCCAAGGAGACAGAACGGGGGCGGTAAAAATCACCTTTTACTTTGGTTACAAGGGGGCCTGCAACCTAAACAGTGTTATTACAGCTATGGTGACAAGAATACATGTTTGTATACCAAACACTATAGCGTTCCTTTATGTGATTATGATAAGTATGGGCACTATAGCCTGAGTCAAATAAAGTGTATTTGCATACTGTATGCTAAACCCTATAGTATTCCTTAAAATATGCAGGAAAAGGTCAAATTTTTTTTTTTTTTTAAATCACCATGTCCGATGGATAGTGTAATTCTTTGGAGATTAACTAATCCACAGTGAAGCAGAGATTTGTGTTATTGCAGAGGGCCCATATACATGCACAAATAAATCCCTATAAATTATGCAGCTGCTGCATGCATTTATCAATCAACTGACAATATATGCAGCAGTTCTAGTAACCAGCTGATGTCTGAGAGGCAGAGGTTACATTTACCCTGGTCTAAAGAAACAAAAGGATTTTGAGAGTGATTGTCCACACACCATGACCAGACCAAATTAAATACATATGTGATTTACATATACATTTTATATTTAAAACTGTTTGATTCACAATCTTAAATAGGAACAGTGATTTCTCTTAAAATTACATGCATCATAATGCTCAATATCACCTATAACTTGGGTTAATGTTTTTTTTTTTTTTTTTAGCACCAACTGTTCTGTTTCTCTTTTTCTCTCTGTGCTCTAACTCTTTGCTAATGTACAGGTGCAAAGGACAGATCTTCCAGCAATGACTGAAAGGCAGCCAAATTGGAAGCACACGGTTCAGGTTCGAGGGAAAAGTGTAGATTTCTACATTTTATTTAAAAATGCACTATAACAAAACATATTTAAAACCCTAGGAATTGACAGTTCCCCTTTAATAGAACCTACAGTAAGGGGGAAAAGTATTTGATCCCCTGCTGATTTTGAACGTTTTAGAGCTGACAAAGAAATGGTCAGTGTATAATTTTAGTGGTAGGTGTATTTTAACAGTGAGAGTCAGAATAACAACAAAATAAAAACAATCCAGAAAAACATGTCAAAAAAGTAATAAATTGATTTGCATGTCAATGAGTGAAATAAATATTTGATCTCTATCAATCAGCAAGATTTCTGGCTCCCAGGTGTCTTTCATACAGGTAACGAGCTGAGATTAGGAGCACTCTTAAATGGAGTGCTCCTAATCTCAGCTTGTTACCTGTATAAAAGACACCTGTCCACAGAAGCAATTAATCAGATTCCAAACTCTCCAACCTGGCCAAGACCAAAGAGCTGTCCAAGGATGTCAGGGACAATATTGTAGACCTACACAAGGCAGGAATGGGCTACAAGACCATCGCCGAGCAGCTTGGTGAGAAGGTGACAACAGTTGGTGCGAATATTCGCAAATGGAAGAAACACAACATAACGGTCAGTCTCCCTTGGTCTGGTGCTCCATGCAAGATCTCACCTCGTAGAGTTTCAATGATCATGAGAACGGTGAGTAATCAGCCCAGAACTACACAGGAGAATCTTGTTAATGATCTCAAGGCAGCTGGGACCATAGTCACCAAGAAAACAATTGGTAACACACTACGCCGTGAAAGACTGAAATCCTGCAGCGCCCGCAAGGTCCCTCTATTTAAGAAAGCACATGTAGAGGTTCGTCTGAAGTTTTCTAATGAACATCTGAATGATTCAGAGGAGAGCTGGGTAAAACTGTTGTGGTCAGATGTGACCAAAATTACGAGTTATTTGGCACCAACTCAACTCGCCGTGTTTGGAGGAGGTGGAATGCTGCCTATGACCCCAAGAACACCATCCCCACCGTCAAACATGGAGGTGGAAACCATTATGCTTTGGGGGGTGGCTCAAGAAGAAGCACATTAAGGTCCTGGAGTGGCCAAGCCAGTCTCCAGACCTTAAACCCATAGAAATTCTGTTGAGGGAGCTGAAGGTTCGAGTTGCCAAACATCAGCCTCGAAACCTTAATGACTTGGAGAGGATCTGCAAAGAGGAGTGGGACAAAATCCCTCCTGAGATGTGTGCAAACTTGGTGGTCAACTACAAGAAACGTCTGACCTCTGTGATTGCCAACAAGAGTTTTGCCACCAAGTACTAAGTCGAAGGGGTCAAATACTTATTTCACTCTTTGACATGCAAATCAATTTATAACTTTTTTGACATGTGTTTTTCTGTTTGTTATTCTGTCTCTCACTGTTAAAATACAACTACCATTAAAATTATAGACTGATCACTTCTTTGTCAGAGGTCAAATGTTCAAAATCAGCAGGGGATCAAATACTTTTTTCTTTTTCTTCACTGAAACTTTGGCTCAGTGTTTGAGCCCTTCAAAAGAGATTGTTATATGTAGCATTATTCAATTTTATTTTATGCTCTTGCTTGACTGAGCCTCACCTACCTTCGGTCCTCTGATTTGGGGATCGGGTTGGTGCAACGTTGGCTGTTGTATTTGGCCACATATTCACATTGTTTGAAGGGGGCGGTCTTGTCCTCAAGAACGTGGCGAATACAGAATGCGTAGCCGTTGAGTCTTCGCTGCTTGCAGAGTTTGGGGCTGTAGGAGCACAGGGGTTTGTTGTCAACCTCAGAGAAGTGTATGTGTTTGCCTTCATACATCACGTGACTCTGTTCCTTGTGAACATCAGCTGGGGAAATAAGCAAGACAACATATAGGTAACAGTTGTTCCATTGTGTGAAAACAATTGACTTGAGGGCCTTATTTAGTCCAATGCATAATAAGATCCTATTGCATTGAAGGACTTGTGACCTACACAACCCTTACCTGATTTTAAACTTGGTACACCATGACAGTGTAGAGGGAGATTCTAGAAGGCCACTTATGTAAGTGACTGATGACCAGAATTCCCTAGGAAAAAAATAAAATAAAAAAGGGGAAAAAGTGTTACAATGAGACCAAACAGCACTATATTAGCATGTACAACTCGGACGTAACATACGGAACTGAGGTATTACCAGTATACTAAAACTAAAGTGAATTCCTTCACTAGAGTAAAACACAAAATACTTGAATTTCCTAAGACTACGAGACTATATACATATATTCAGGAGAGCATTACATGCCTATGACTTTGGGTGCAAATTATTTTTTTTCCACTGAATGCACTACTATGTTTTTGTCTCTATATAAGGCGAAAAGTTAATTTGTGTGTGATGAGTAGTGAAAGTTTCTTTGGCTCCTAACTTTTTGGAGCAATGGCTCCTAAATATCATGAAAATATTTTTGAACCAAGTAACCGATCAAGTTGCATTATCACAATAAAGCAAAACATTGAATTTTACAAAAGAACAAAGAGACTTGATTAAAGTTAAAGAATAGGAGTAAAATAGTTTATAGAACCTTGTTTAACCAATGCAACACTAAAGAATATAAATCATGCAGTCTACACAATGTCTTACATGGGGAAAAATTCATTTTATTAATTGTTATCATTAGCCACCTTTGCTTACATCCTTAAAGATGTACAGTTATATTTTTATTTAGAAGAAGTGGTTATGGGAACAGAAGAGTCAATACGCCTTCTTATCTTTGGGGGTTAAATTGCTTAGCAACAATTTAATCCCGAAGATGAGAGACTGGCACCGCTACCTCTCTTCTTTTTTCCCCTCTGCCTCACAGTATGAATAAAGGTAAGCCAGGTGACCACTCCTAGCCAACACTCCCAGCATATTACCGGCTGCCCAGCTAACGCTTACTCATACTGCGGCTCAGAAAGTAAGAAAGCTGGGAGGCAAAGGCGCCAAAGCTCCAACATTGGGTCTAAAGTGTTGCCAACTGCGATCAGACATTTCCTCCTCCATAAATATGTGAATGAGCTTAAAAATGGTTATGCTGTGGTGGATGTTCCTATAAAAGTAACAGAATTTTTAACAAAACCAGAAATTGTGGAATCGTGGAAATTAAAATTTTTGTCAAAAAGTGTGGAGCTGGAAATATAGCTGAACACAATTTTTATTTTCAGTTCTGCTCTTTTGTCCTAAAATGAGCAAATCTCCACAGATCCCAGTTCAGTTCATAGCAAACACAGATTAAATGCTATTTTGGTCTAGGTAGAATATAATACTAGCCAATTCCTGACACTGTGAGTTAAGCACCTCTGACTGCATTTATTAAAAAAGGGTTGAGATCATATGTACGTCTAGTGAGAGAAAAAAAAAAAAAAATTATATGAGCGGCATTCAGTCGTGTTCAAGTCAACAAAAACATAATGAGAAGCTAATCAGGAAGACTGTCTAAGCATGAGAGAAAAGGATACTATTCAAAGTACACAAGACTTGTAAAGTGATAAAAATAACATTTATCATGTGTCTTGACTTAAAACAAAAAAAACAATGCTGGCTAGGGTTAGTTATAATTGACGCTTATGATTCAGGTTTCGAAGCACAATAATGATTGATAGGATTTCCATTGGCCAGATAAAATCATTGACAGCTTGACACAGCTGATAACAGGTTCACTAAAGGTCATTTCACCAGGACTCAGCATTGATAATTTTAAGACTTGGTTTTATGCATGAGGTAATTATCTCTTTTGTTTCAACAAATTGCAGATGTAATGATTCCGTATGAACAGATGGTGGAGAGGAATGAAAAAAAATAAAAAAAAATAAAAAAAAAAACCCAAACACACTCACACGTTGCCAAGGTAACAATCAATAGTCCCTGAGCTATCAGTTCCCATCACTACAACAAAGGACAATGCAATCTGTGTTTAGAAGGAAAGCTAAATGAATATACCATGGTTCTAGTACAAAAAACCTTCCACTACTAATATTAGTCCTGAACGCATTTCATGACAGCATATAAAAAAAATAAAAATTTGATTAATTTGCATTTAAAAACAAAAATGTTAAATAAACGTAAATCATGGGTCCAGTTTGACCCTCAGCCCCTCTGGATTAAAGAAATTAATAGATATATGGGGTTTGTTGCCCTTATGGAAATCTACATTGACATATGCAAGGTAAAGATAATTGTCCTGATCCCTTGGATCCAAGGTTGCCCCAGGCCACGTTCTATTCATTTAGTTGCTGAGTAAAATGGTCCTGGAGTGATATAGCAGATGGGCTGGTTGCTAGGACAAACACAAACACATCTATGGTGAAGGACCAAACAGTGGATATAAATAGCTTCTCCACATCTAGGACACAGTAGAAAGACCTCGGAGCATTATCTGCTTTCACTAATGTATGCAGATAGATTTGCTTGTTCTTTAACTAAGGGGCTAAATGTAAAGAGCTTTTACACAGTATTTTATAAAGTTTTCAAAAAAAAAAAAAAAAAGCTTGTATGTAGCACATAACTGAACCTTAAAACTAGCAAATCAAGACTTTTTAAAAAGTAAAGTTGTAGGGCTGACCTTGAAGTATTTGCAGGGGTCATCCACTAAACACAGAGCCATAATTACTAAGACACAGAATATACAGATAGTTGTGGCATAAAATACATTGAATCTTATCCAGTAAGTAACAAATTTGCAATCCAAATTACAACATTTAAGCAACAGCTAATTTAGAAAGCGAGTCAAAGCTCGCTCGTGTTTTCAATATGTTTAGAGTATTAATACTATAGTTAATGCCATAATTTGTATCTTACAATTTGAAATATAGGTCATAGGGCTAGGAAGCCCTGTGTGAAGTCACTATTTGTTTTTTTGTAAAACATTTTATGTCAACCTCCCCACCCTTTTATTACCTCTAATATTAAAATTACAATATCAGTACTATATTATAGTACCTCTGCCAAAGGACCACTTCCTTCCATTCTTCTATCTAACTTTGGAAGATATACAAAGATGGGTTTGCCTTTGGGGGTATGCCCCCAACACCCAAAATGACTCATGTTAGGTTGACTGACCGCCAGTCAGAACATGCAGAAGATGCTGCTGAAGCACTTTCTGCATAGATAGCCCTGGTTTTCTCAGCACAGTATGAGCAGGTCAACTGATATACCCAAGCTGTGCTCACTGGGGACAGTTTCTCGGTCAGTGGCGTACTAAGGGGAGGGCGGTCCACCCCAGGTGTCACTCACTATAGGGGTGCCCAGAGCGCACTTTCATGCCAATTGCAGAAGTCTCCACGTTTGCTTCCCATCCAGCAGCAGCATGTCCTCTGTTCTCGGGATCCGCAAGAGAGTGTTGCCACTCGCTGCTATGGCAACGCTCCGCACGCAATGGATGCCGGAGAGTTGCCATGGCAACCCGCAGCAATGCTCTCGCTCAATGCAAGAACAGAGGACATGCTGCAGCTGGATGTGGAGACTCCTGGGCCCCTCTTCACTGGGCAACCATACTGTGCCACCGGTGTAATGTACGATTCAGTGACCCAGGGAATGTAGTGTGTCCCCCCTCCCTGGACACAGGTAGGAGTCAGAGAGGGAACATACACACAAACAATACACACTGCTTACTATACACTCATTACACACACACACACACCTGTGTGTCTATGTATCTGCATGTGTGCCAGTGTGTGTATATTTGAGTGTGTATATTTGCATACATCTCAGCATTTCGCAAACACTACACACAAATACACCCCTGCATCCAAATATCAACACTACATAAAAACACACCACATATTCAAAAAAACAACAAATGCACGCCTGCATTCAAATGCCAACACTACATGCAAACACACCTACACTCACTCTCACATACTTCATACAAAAACATGCTTACATTCAAACACAAACACTGCTCAATGCTAAAAACACTTAAAAAACAAATATGTGGGTGCAGCAGAATGGATCCTCACAAAACTACTTTTATTCCCTTTATTGGCTGTCCATACACCCACTGCCCTCTATTACAGTACTAGGTTTTTACCTTTGTTATTTCGTGTGGTTCTGCTTTGTCGGTTCGGGAGACTTCATACAAATGGAACCCATTCGTCTACCGAACGAGGACCACCCATGTGCCCCATTCACACCAACCACTTGTGTGAAAAACCACAAGGGAAACAATTAATGAGTGCTTCTCATGGGTGGCCGCCATTTCATATAACCAAACACATGGCTAAAAGAATAGCGGCCATCTTCTCTCCCGAACGAGGGCAGCGGTACTTGGTTGTCGAGTGCCTGTAACTTTTTGGCCAGGCACGCGCAAACACCGGTAAACTTATGATCGCTGCTCGTTCCTGTTCCCAACCACCTACATGAACAGCGTTCGGGAGCTATAAAGTACCGAACAGGGGGAGCATTCGTATCCTGAAAGCGAGCAATTCTCTTGTATGGTTTTCACATGGGAACCCCACAAACGGAGACCGGCCAGGACAATCCTCTGGAACTATTTTGGGCTAACACCTTATGCCTGGCCGGTCAAAACACCACCACAATGCCATTCCCTTTCTACCGAACCGATCTGAGTGACTCTTGGATATGTTGGTCACTCAGATCAGGGCTATCTGGGAATGTGCTTTGTGTGGGGTTCCTAGGTTGGGGGACAGGATATTTTGTGGATTTTTTGCCGGAGAGATAATTAAGTTAGAGGCAACTTATCAGGCCATTATCTCTCAGGCACAAAAGGACCTTGGGATTGAAGCCCCTGTATTTTCCTGACTGTATTTTGGTGTACCAGCAGAAGGGAGTCCCTGCTAGGACTAGGGCTCTACAACAGTGGGTGTTTTTTACATTTTAAAATGGGGGCAGAGGGGTGCCAAATGCTCCAGGTACGCCCTTGTTCTCGATATCCTCAGAGATGGGACATTACAGAACAAAATAGGATGGCAGGACAAATACATTATTAGGTTGTTCAGGTTAGAACTATAACTCCCTGCAGCCTGATGTAAACACTGTATTTTCTGAGAAAATACAGGATTTACATTGAAAGCTAGGAACATCTCCAGTTGCAGTCACTCAGAATGCCACCAGAGGGATTTCCGAGTTGATTGAAGCATAAAACTCCTCAATCCACTCAGATCTGCTGTCAGCAGAGCACAGGGCAGCACTGGGTCTCCTCCCTCTGCATGCAGACACTGAACTTTCCTCATAGAGATTCATTGATTCAATTCATCTCTATGAGGAGATGCTGATTGGCCAGGGTTGTGTTTGAATCATGCTGTCTCTGCCCCTGATCTGCCTCTTTGTCAGTCTCAGCCAATCCTATGGGGACTTTTTTTTTTTTTTTTAGGCAAACAGCATGCAGAGTTACAGCTTCTGGCTTGAATACAGTAAGATTTTTACTAGATTTATGGAGGCATGAGGGGCCTAGTTGGTGGTAACACGATAGGGACAGGAATACATGTAGTTGCACTGGTGACTATAGTGGCCTTTTAACATTTATTTTTTGAGTTTCCCTGTACTACATATAAAGTGATCCTAAGGATCGCTCTCCTCTATAAAGTGAGGATGCAGGCTGTTTGTTAAAACGTTTGAAGTACTCCCTGCATAGTGCCACAGTTGGGAAAGGGTTGGAGTAAAAGATGGTCCGGCGTTATTCCTTCATCAAGCGTGTTTTGTACTTACTGGTGGAATATAGGAACCAGGAGGCAATTGCCTGATGGACAAAGTCCAATTGGGGAGTGTGGCAAACTCCCCTTTTTACCAGAGTTTGCCACAAGCTTTTGGAGAAGCCTGCTTGTCAGCCTCCTGCCCATAGACTATGGGCCCTGCAGGGAAACCTGTAAAAGACTACCAAACTTGACCGACTGTTAGCACTGATTTCCCTGGAACTGTTTTGGGCATTGGACCATGTGCACGGTCGGTCGAACCTCTCCTCCAAGAGAGTGAAGTAGCAACAAGGACTCTAGATTGAGGGTGAAGAAGAACTCTCCGTACCGGCACATACAGCCTCTTTTATTCACATTCTACAAACATAGTACTGCCCACAGGGTTTTTAAAGCACAACCAATCAACACATTACAAAACAGCTAACACTCCCATTCATTACATCAGAAATCCTCCCCTCTGCCTGGGATACAATTACCTCAACACAATAGACTAACTTAATTATCACAGGCAGGAAAATACAGTATTATAAAACATATCACAGGGACCCCAAAACATGCAATAACCCCATGAAAAATATATCCTCGGAACCGAGGATCAGGGTGAACCACATGTCCAAAATTCACCCAGATCCGTTCAGTAGTTTGAAGATACAGTTCAATGCAGATTCCGCAGAACAAATACAGGCTATATGAAAAATAATTACTGTTAAATGTGTCCCCTGTTCTGTAGTTTAAAAAACTACTGAACAATGTCTTTGTGCACCAAATACCGGCGAGATGGCACAGTGTAGAAAAGTCACAACAGTGTCTGTGAGTTAAAATGGCCGCCATACATTGTTCTCACCATGTGCTTCATCCATTGTTCTCACCATGTGCCTCTGATACATGAAATGGTGGCCACCCAGTAACTCCACAGTATGTCCCCAGATGGTTCTTAAAGAGCCAGCAGCAGCATAATAAAATACAGTATGCCCAAATCAGTTCCGTAAAGGGCAATACATCCCAGGGACATAGTCGCAGGGCAGGAGGCTGGCAAACAGGCCCCTCCAAAAACCAGTGGCAAGGTCACTTTCGCCACACTTCTGTGTCTGCTGTTCCAGCTTGCAGGGGATTCAATAGGGAAAGTCCTTGTAAGGACTTGAGCTAATTCCCTATTTGGCTCCAGGAAGGAGCGGTTCCAGGGCCCCAGTCAAGCCATGGCGACTGTGGGCAGAAATGCTGCAGTTTTTCCCCTGTTCCAACTAGGAAGTGGTCCTTTGGCAGAGATACCCAGTCAGGATACAGGGAACATCCGTTACAGGGAGATCAAAGTATCAAACACAAAAACAAAACAGTGTAATAAAATCCACTGGCGAAGCCCATTTTAATAACAAAGAGCAGAAAAGGAAGAGGCATGTCAGGCTATTGATCTTTTCCAATGTCCACATGTTCAAATGATCTCCCAAACAGGCCTATCTACCCGAGTACACACCACTGTATTGCTCTAGATTCTGAGTGGTTCATATAATTTCTCCAATACTTTCATAATGCAAAATAAGAAGTCAGCAACATTCAGAGGTGTACAAGGTCTTCGACAGAAACCATCATTTTTAAATACCCTTCCTTTGCACATCTGGGTCACTGGTTAAAATGCAACATCTCCTTCTATAGCACCAACCCATCCCATCAAGCTGCTATGACTTTTGTGGTGATGCAGGCATACTAGAGAGGAGGTCATCAAGACAATAACAGTTACTAAAGCAATTACATATGTATTTTATCTTTATGATAAAATTACAATTTTTTTTTGCTTTTAGAGCGGTTATGTATTTAGCTGAACCATGACAGGTACACAAAAATAAATAAATGCTGGCTTATATGTTCCACCATTCTCCGCTCTCCTGCAGCGATTTCATTAAAGAGGTGGGTGTTACACTTCTGCCACACCCACCTCGAGTCCATTCTCCCTACCCCCCTGTTTTGTACCGATTTGCACAGCTTGGGGACATTTCTCCAAGCAGAGCAATCCTCCTCCATGACACCGACACTCTGACGTCTTTGCCGGCATGCCAGTGTCTTAATAGAGTGATGTCACGCCACTCCGTTCCTACACTCCCTAGCTAGCACTAGGAACACCAGCTAGGGAGTTACCACAGCAACCATAGTGCATGTGCTGTGGTTGCTATGGGTGGAGAGCAGAGGGACCACCCATATGACGTATCTTCTGCTCTCCCTGTCAATTCCCCAGCATTCAATATCTGCAGAGGAATTGAGAGACAGATGGGAGAAAAAAAAAAAAAAAAAAAAATTAGGTTTTTCTCCAAATCTATTTTTTGCAAGCAAAACAAATAGATGGTACTGTTTTTTTCCCCATGACAAGTTGCTGGATTCCGGGTAAGTTTATTCTTATTTTGTAAGGATAATAATAGCTAATGCCCAATAGGGCACTGTTACTTAAAAAAATGCATTTATTTTAAAAGGGTTTGAGTTACCCCTTTAATACGGTTTTAGGGATAGGGGTAGAGTAGAGTTAAGGCAGGTGTACAGTTAGAATTAGTATAAGCATATTGTTAGCGTTTACTACCAAAAGGTTGCTTTCCAGCGTTGGTTCGCCCACTCCCCAGCTGCATCCAGTTTCTTCCACGCAGATTGGCTTAGAGCAAGGGTAAGCAACCTTCGGCACTCCAGATGTTGTGGACTACATCCCCCATAATGCTCTTACACCCATAATGCTGGCAAAGCATCATGGCAGGTGTAGCGGAAAGGCAGTATAATCCACAATATCTCCGCTGGATAACAGGAACAACAAAGGATAATCCAGGGAATCAGCATACAATAATCCAGACAGCACTGCAGTAACCCTTCCTTCCCAAAAACTAGACGACACATAGGCTGGGAGTCAACTGAGGTCTTTTAATTCAGCTCCACAATTTATACAAGTCCCATGCAAGGGGTTTCCTGAGTCCCCTCCCAGGGACATTCCCAGAGGGGACTACATGGGGGACTTACAAAACAAGACATGTTTCCCATCAGGCACTGCTGCACGAGAGGGATCCTCCCACTGGAATATACCGTTAAGTGGATTATCCCTCCGTGCAGCAGAGCTTACATTTCACATTAAATTCAATAATTCCATGAATATCTGGTTCATTTAAACGAATGGACGTTCGGTAGATAGCTGGGGTCTGAGCGCATCATTCATGAGATTACCGCTCAGATCCCAGCTAAAATAACCGAACGCCACACGAAAAACACATTCACTAACACATAGCCTTAAAATGTCGATTACATATAGTGAAACCGAATGTCCCGGACCCCCCGAACGGTCTGGAGGCTCAGCGGTGTTCGCGCCGTCGAGTAGCCGTTTTTAGTTCCACGCGCTTGACGACTAAACACCGCTGAGGGAACAAAGGATCCAAGATGGCCGCCCGCCGCATGGTCGGTAGTCGAACGACGGCCACCCAGGAGAGCCTATAATCACCGATTGCAACATTGTTGCAATCGGTTAACAGGCGCCACACGCCTCTAAGTGTGTGGGCTATAAAATGATATGTTGTTCGTTTCCCGAACAGCCCGCAAAGGTGCCGTTCGTGAAACGAAAGGAATTAGCTATCTGCGGTCGGCAGATAGCCCAGGCAGGCAATACAGTATTAACATTGCATTACAGTACACGCTCTAACACACAAACGGAACCCCATACCGGCAACCCTTAAAGAGATAGTACAACATAATGTTCAAGTGGCTAGGTTTGCCACAGCAGGTGTAGTCCAAAACATCTGCAGTGCCGAAGGTTGCCTATGCCTGGCTTAGAGCATCCTGATTGGCTTAGAGTAGTGCCAATGAATAGCTTAGAGCCATAGCTGACCACTATAAGCCAATCAACAGAGCCTTTTTCCTGTGGCACTCCGTGCTTCCCGTATCTGCAATTAAGAAATTGGATACAGATGGGGACAGGGAGATTCTTGCAATCTTTTGTTCAACTGTTCGAGAATGGTTTAACCCCTTCAGGTAAGAAAGCTGCAGGAACCTCTAAGCACCATAACAACTTTTTTTATTTAGTGGTTATGGTGCAGATACAGTTCCTTTAACTTTTCAATTACAATGAAACAAACATATGACAAATTTCAGGTTTTATTTTGGTTCAGAAGTTGGAGAATTGCCTCCTTCCTCAAAAGTATACTGTAGCATTAGGAATACAGACATTTTCCTAATGCTAGAATTTTATGCTTTTTGGATTATAGGGTCCTCTTTATTCCTTTAGTGTATATGGTACGCTCAGGCACCTCGCCTCCAAAGATTGAGATTGTCAATCCTGATGATTCTTGCCAATCTAATGCTTCCCCCATAAAGAGGCTAGTGGGCATGCGCCAATTGCATTTTCTCATATATATATAGTACTGAGCCAATGCATCTCTAGGAGGAGTGTTCAGCATCTAGTCAGCCCTATAATCCTGAGAGGACCGCTTCCAGGAATCCTCCCTAGTGACTGTCAGAGTGCCATACATTGAGCTGTAGTTGTTCCAGTGCCTAGAGTGTCCCTATAAAAATAGTTAATATACCTACAAATTGGCAAATATTTTCAGTCAAACTGAACAAACCAAACTGATCTAATTTTTTGTTGTAAAATTTGCTGTAGCATAAACAGCTTTTCAGTCTACACTCCAATGGCTTGATGAGGGATGGGGTGTTTAGAGCAGTTTAGGAAATAACTTTATGTACGAGATAGCAATGCTCAATAGACTCCATAGCCGCTACAGTATTTGTTAATGGGGTAGTGCAGTTAGGGTCCCTAGGTGGTGTCCACTGGTAATGTGTCAAACCATTTAAAATGTTACCTAGCCATCTCACATTTATTCAAGTCTCAGTTGGTCTGGTAAAGCACAACATTGCACTTTTTGCATTATACCAACTCATACCATGTTTAGACATTTATTGACTGTGTGGCAGGCAATTCGAATATTACTATTAAAAAAAAAAAAAAGAGAGACCCACACAGACCAGAGAACCAGATTAGAAAATTAAATAGAAAGCTTTTTTTTCCCATTCCTGTTTATATAAAATTATGCTGGAACACAAAATTATTTTACATTTAAGAGGAGATGATGGAAGAACTGTGATCAAACAGTGTTTAATTATATCCAATCACCTGTCAAAGAAACATTGCTTAGGAACTTACTGCTGATAAAGCTGGCAGAAAAGAGGTTAATAAAAATAAATATTTCTAAAAGATTGAACAGAATGTCAAAATACAATTATTTATTAAATATTTTCCCAATAAGGATGCATTAAGATTTTTTCATGTTTATTTCCTGGGGAGCACATACAATAGGCATAGCAGTACACATATGAACATACAGTCCAATTCCAAATAAATGTAAAACACCATTAAATAGTAAAATATATTTACTAATAAAAAAGAACTGTGCATATTTGAGACATTAATGAACATAGTACTCACTAATTCACTAAAATAAAAATTCAAGTAAATTTAACATTTTAGACCACAGTAGCCCAAATGGAATCATAGCTGATTTTTCCAATTCAGCTATTTTGTCATAAAATTTGAAATTCACTTTAGTAAATAACCCTGTAAGTCTTCAGGGAACAAATAATGATATGGCTGAGCACAACACATCAGTACCATTTTTAGTACAATCACAAAATGCATTGCGCAATAAAGATTTCGGGGGATAGGTATAAAAAAAAAAAAAAAAAAATGTTGTAAAGTTGCAGCACTTTTTTTGCACATGTACCATTTTCTAAAGTATAAAACAGTAACTCCAACCTTTTCCATAATACACCAAATTAAATCAATCATTTATTACATCTCAAAATAGCATACGTCACCAATATTATTAGAGGAAAACTATGAACATGTACAATCAGAAGGAATATACACACACACACACACACACACACACTAAACAAAACAGCTGATTTGTGTCACAAGGGAAAAAAAAGTCTGACAGTGAAAGAGCACATTTTATTTTAGACAGTACATTGAAGAAGAAGAAAAAGGGGAAAAAAAACAAGCAGCAAACTAAGGAATATTTGGAATTCAAATAAATCAGCACATATAGGAAAAGTGACAGTAAAAAAACAAAAAAAGTAAACATGTTTTATACATGGTTCACCATATATATTTTTAAAGGCAAGACAAATGCTATTCTAGTATAAGTTCTACATTTTGTAAAACATTCTATTGCCTATTATTTTATTTTAATGATATTTTTGTTTCATAATAGATTTGTGGGAAACTGCTATCCAGCTACAAGATAAATAGATTCTCATCTAACCCCAGGAAGGAGGTTTACCAAGACGAACATCGGGTGCTATTCAGGGGCAGCGTGATAACTATGGAGCAATCACCATAGCAACCAACAGAACGTCCATGAATATTTAGCACTTTGCGCTAGAAAAGCTATTTTTTCACCTAAATAAATCTCCGTCTAAAAGATCAGATAGGGTTTTTCTTTTTTTTTTTTTATCGCGAAATAAAGACATAATAAAAATGTTGTTTTGTGGCACAGACAGTTGCAAAATAATAAAAAATAAATAAATACATAAAAATGGACGGAAAGCGTCAAGATAGCGATTTAAATGAAAATGTTAAATGAATTTATAGCAATTGTTAGTGACAGCCGGTGATCCGGATAAGCCTGCGGCTGCACTCATCACATCCAGAGCGTTTGGATTCAATGTTTGTGTTATTTTCCAAACATTGCTCCTTATTAAACACTATAATATTTCTAATAACCTGCGTCCTAGCATTCAGTTAGTAATAAAATAATAATATAAAATCGCGGAATGCTTTCCGGTCTCTCTATAAACCGGGCCTAAAATTATATATATTTATAAAAAATAATAAGGTATTTACACACTGCATATCAGTATCGCGCATTTTCTGCCCAGATCTTACCTGCCACATACGAAATTAGCGAAGAAATTAAAAGAAGAGTAGACGGCAAATGCTGCCTCCGGCCTAGCGGGGCCCTGAGAATCCCCGACCTCTAGTGCTCCGTGTATCCGACGTAAGAGCGCCTCCAGGCGGTCTCATGGCTTTACTGCAGTCCGAGGATCCGGTTGTGGCCCTGTGTTCTCCGCTTACCTTTTCAAGCTTTTTTTTTTTTCCTCTCTCTCCTCCTTTCTCCCCCCTTTTCTGTTTGGCTGTCAGATCCCAGGACCTCCCCAGCCGGCTGCGATCAGGACTTGTGTTTTGGATTTTTTTTTTTTTTTCCCCTCTGGATCTCCTCCTTCAAACCAATACCCCCTAGTAATAACCGTACAATCCGAATTAATTTCTGAAAGGGGGGGGTGGAGGTCATAGAAGGGGGGGCTGAAAAAAAAACCTAATAGTAAAAGTGCAGGGGGGCCTGTGCTCAGAAAGGGAATCCCTGAATATATTCTCCAGCAGGGAAGGTTGGGCTGCTTGGTACATAAGAAGGGCCAGCAGCCTCCTACAGCACCACTACAGGCACACAGAGGACATAACACCACTATAGCTATCCTGCCCTCCAAAACAACAACTTCTCAACCATCTTGGAGCTGCTGTTGCTGCTGGAATTAAGATGTCAAAATATTAAAGAACAAAAATGTTTAAAGAGTCCTGTGCGCTGGCAACGGATGTGAGACCTGTCTAACCTGTGCTGTTGGAGGTTGTCATTTTTATTTTTTATTTTTGTGCTTGTGGTTTTGTTTTTGGGTCATTTTTTTTTTTTGTCTTCTTTAGTCAAGGATATATATGAAAGGTACCTCTCTTCTTCAGTCCTTTTTTTTGTTGTTGTTGTTTTTTTTAAACTCTTGGGGAAAGAAAGAGTTTGCAGGTTTTTGAATAATTTTCTGTTTTCCATTGCAAAATTTTAAGGACTTTTATTTTCTTTCTGAAGAATGTATTGAAATGTTAGTGGAAATTGCTGACACAGATTGCTGAATAGTTTTTTTTTTTACTTTGATATTTAAATGATGTATGGTGATGCAGAATATGTACTCCAGATCCATTGTTATAAGAAAAATCTATTTTATGTGCCGGCGCAATTAACTTTGTGTGACGATGTGCATGTCTAGAGCTACATTGCTTGGAGAATCTGAGTTAATGTGTTTCCTCAAAAGTTTGCTGCGGAAATCCAGGAAAAGTCTTGGAAACAGGACCGATTACTTATTTAGAAGACTGTGGATTATAACAATTAGTTTTGTTGACAATATACTTTTTTGATGATCACCTACAACACTCTGTCAGATGTATATATGGATTTGTGTGAATATGAGAATTACAGTGGTTCGACTACGTGCTGGACTTCTTACAAGCGGACTATTGGTCAAACTTGTCTTTCACCACTCAAAGAAAATTTCTGACTGGACACTTAAAACCTGCGTGCTGTGAAAATGAATTGATGTCAGCTTACAGGTGCAATATTTGTTCCTTTTTCAAGGAAAGCCTGGTATGTTGAATAAGTGGTATCATAATTGGAAGTAGAAAGACGGTGTGAGATATTGCTATGAACTAGTTTGTGCATTCATAAATTAGTGCTAAAGTGAAAGCATAGCTGACTTAGAGGATTTAACCAATTTGGCTTTTTTGACCTTTAAATTTGAAATTCACCTTGAATTCGCACTTTAGTGATTAACCTTATAAAGTGTGCATGCATGTTCACATTGAGGGTTTAGGAATCTGAATGGAACAGCTGAGTAGGCAGTGTGTATAGACTAGACATGTGGATTTGTTTATGTCAAAATTTTGAGTCATTTGTCTCTTCATCTGAACCATGAATGAGCAAATCACCTTTTGAAACAAAGTAAAAGAAAAGCAAGTTGCATGATGGACAACATTCATTCATGCAATTTGTTTGTTTATTCCCATTTAGTTGAATTGATCGCAAGGAGGCAGCTATGAGTTCTTCCTTAGTAATTAGTGGCCCTGGACATTTAATAACAGAAGATGCTGGGAGCAGAGTTGCCCGCTGCTTCCTCCTTCCTTTTCCTGACTTTGTAATGGGGTGTTCAACAAAAGTGTTGTTGCTGTGTAAAAACTGGGGGTCGGCCTTAGACCACAACAACTGTCCCTGGTCCTAAAAAAATAAAAATAAATCTAATTTGATGCTGTACTGTAATTCCCATAATGCTTGTAGCTCTGTTACAGCTGGGGTCAGCTTTTGGCCACAAAGCTAATCACAGTTTGATGTAGAATTCTAACCCCCTATGGTGCTTGGCCTTTATGGCTAGCTAAGCATTACATGAGTTGTAGATGTGCAATAGCTGGGGATCAGACTTTGGCCACCACAATTGTCCCTGTCCCAAAAAAAGACATCTATTATGGGATTACAGCTCACATGATGCTTAGCTAGCCAGACTACTCATCACAGAAAGGTTTAGCTCTGTAACCGCTGCAGGTCAGCCTTTGACTGAAACCATAGGCGTGCGCACGGGGTGTGCCTGGGCACACCCTAATCCCCGCGGCACGCCTATGTATAGTGAGACCGGCAGGGGAGATCTCAGGATCTCCCCTGTCGGCTCATGCAGAACCGGCGCTATCCGAGCGCCGGCTCTGCTCTCAGCCTCCCTCCCCACTGACCCACATGCAGGGAGGGAGGCAGGAGAGGACCCGGCGGAGCTATTGCCGGCAGCTCCGCTGGGTTCCTCTCGCGAGATATGAGGGTTGCCTCCCTGTGGGGCTAGAGTTCACTCTCCACTGGACCACCAGGGATGGAATCAGCAGCAACAAGGATCCCCCCTCCCTACAAAAGGTAAGAAGGGAGGGGGGATAGCAAGTAATGTACCCCCACCTCCACCCCCACAATCACCCCACCCACATACAGCACACACAGACATACACAGCACCCACAGACACACACAGCACCCACACACATACACAGCACCAACACGCATACAGCACCCACACACACATACAGCACCCTCACAAACACACACAGCACACTAACAGTACCCTCACAAACACAAACAGGACCCTAACAAACACACACACAGCACACTACCAGTACCCTCACACACAAACAGCACCTTCACACACAGTACATTAACAGCACCCTCACAAGCGCACACACAAACACCCTCACCCACATAGCACACTACCAGCACCGTCACACACACATCACACTAACAGCACCCTCACACAGCACACACACACAGCAGTGTGTGTATGTGTGTATATATACACATATATATATATAAATACATATATATATGCGGCGTGTGCTTGTGCTTTAGGGTGCACACCCTAATGCAATAGGCTGTGCACGCCTATGACTGAAATCCTTAGTCAGGCACCAATTAAGAAAACAAACACTAGTGAACAAGTCCTTCATATCGTGTAATGAAATAGTCAACTTTAGTGAATAAGCCCTTTTAATTTTTTGAATGCCATATGTGCTCATAACACAAATTTGTTGTGGATACACCTTTGGCACTCAATGGATTAATATGACAATTAAAAACAGCAAACCTTTGTAAATAAGATTTTATTGTCACAATCAAAAACTGAACCCTATTGAACATGCCTTTTAAATCTTACAGTGACACAACCAGCATGAGTGAATAAACCCTTTAGCAATGGATGAGAACACCTATGATGTACTTAAAGGATTAATATGCAAATTAAAAAAGGCAAACTTTGTGAAGATGTTTTAATGTACCAATCTAGAAAAAAAAATACATTTGAACCATTTGAGTGCCATTTGCACAAATCGCATCGCAATGTCACACTAAAAGGATCACTATAGTGTCAGGAAAGTAAAGCGGTTTTCCTGACACTATAGTGCCCTGAGGGTGCCCCCACCCTCAGATGCCACAGACGAAAAATGAAAACTAACGCTAGTAAACAATACTATCACAATGAAAAGTCCATTTAACCATTTTCGTGCCAGCTCGTGGGAGAAGAGTGAAGTCTGGAGGAGCTGCAGGCTCAAGTTCACTACTCACCATTGGATCACCAGGCAGTGCATGTCGTCGTTTCCCCCCCTCCCCGCCAAATGTAAGAAGGGTGGGAAAAATAAAGCTGCTTTTTATATATATATATATATATATATATATATATATATATATATATATATATATATATATATATATATATATATATATATAAAAAAGCAGCTAATAAAATTTTTTCACTAACCACACTCATTGAACCCTATACACATACATTGCACCCTGCCTGTGTGTACTCAGTAGTACTCAGTAGTCTGAGTATATGTATTACATATATGTATTACATATGTACCAAAAAAGATACGCTTAAAGGGACACTATAGTCAGCAGAACAACAACAGCTTATTCTATTTGTTCTGGTGAGTATAATCATTCCCTTCAGGCTTTATGCAGTAAACACAGAGAAAATGCAATGTTTACATTACAGCCTAGGTATACCTCCACTGGCCACACCTTAGATGGCTTCTATAGGTGCTTCCTGAGGCAGTGCTGCACACTGTGCAGTATTGACATTGTCTCTCAATCCTCAGCCAGGGCTGTGTTTAGCCTTCTTGACAGTCTCAGCCAATCCAGTGCTTTTCTGTGAGTATACCACTTCTGATGCTGTCAGCCAAGCAGGCAGAACCAGCAGTAGACTGGAATAAAGTAAGATTTTACTATATTTAGGCGGGGCTAGATAGTAATTTTAAATCTATAGGGTCAAGAATACATGTTTGTCCCTGAGGGGGAGCAGGGGCACTGCAGTCCCTGGTGTTTAATTGTCTGGGAAGCAAGGACTCCTTCCTGCATCTCCCACAGTTCACAAGTTCCGGCTGCATGTAACTCCACCCCCACCGCCCACTTGCCCCGCCGTTTGTGAAGCTCCGCCCCCTGCCTTATCCAATACACCTAGGTGGAGGATAATGAAATCCTCCCCCATGTTCAGCGCGGCCACAGTCCATATAGCATTCTTACATTACAGGAGTGCTCTGCGCACTCCTGCTCACCTATTACCTAGGGAGTGTGTGAGCTGTGTCAGCCACATTGTGCCCCCTGCTGCCATGGCGCCCCTGTGCAACTGCACAGTTCGCACACCCCTAAGGCCGGCCCTGCCTTCTATTTAACATGTTTATAAATGATCTTGAAAAAAGCAATGAAAGTCATGTTTCAGTGTTTGCAAATGACACAAAACTCTGTAAAGCAGGGCTTGACAAATTTGCTTTGAGTCTAGGAGCCAGCTAAAAAAAAGTTAGGAGCCAGATTTTTTTTAAAACTTGCATAGCTTTATTTTTACCAACAAAAATACAGTTTTAAAAGGACACGATAGTCACCAGGACCACTACAGCTTAATGTGCAGCAACTACATTCAGCGTCTCCACACTCTGCATGGAGGCGCTGTATGTTCCCCATAGAGATGCACGACCCCCCAGCATGCCGCCCGCCTCCATAATCCCTCAACTTGCCGCCTACCTCCACAATTCCCCAGTTGCCTCCCGCCCGTCTCTGAAGTAACGGGCTATCCCAGGCGCCAAGGCAAAATTCCTAGACGCCATGGCAACCTGGCGCCTAGGATTTGTCGAGCCCTGCTGTAAAGTAATACAACGTGAGCAAGATATTACTTTGCTGCAGAGGGATTTAGATAGACTGGGGGATTGGGCACTCAAATGGCAGGTGAAATTTAATGTAAAAAAATGCAAAGTTATGCACTTAGGAGTAAAGAATGCACAAGCAACTTATACCCTAAATGGAAGCAAATTAGGGATAACAACACATGAAAAGGACTTGGGAATTGTTATAGACAACAAACTATGCAACAATGTGCAATGTCAGTCAGCAGTGGCTAAGAGTAAGGTATTGTCATGCATGAAAAAGGGCATTAATTCTCGGGATGAGAATATAATTTTGCTTCTTTATAAATCACTGGTAAAACCACATCTTGAATATGCTGTGGAATATTAGACACTTGTTCTAAAGAAGGATATTATGGCACTAGAAAAAGTGCAGAGGTGGGCTACAAAATTAATAAAAGGAATGGAACATATTAGCTATGATAAAGGTTAACAAATGTAAACCCTTTTTAGTTTAGAAAAACATTGCCTCAGAGGGGATATATTATACAAATATATCCAAGGCCAATACAGACCATTTGTGTGGAAATCTATTCACAAACAGGACTATACATAGGACATGAGGTCATGCGTTTAGACTGGAAGAAAGAAGATTTAGTCTAAGGTAAAGGAAAGTTGTTTTTTACCGTAAGAACAATAAGGTTGTGGAATTCTCTGCCTGAAGAAGTAGTTTTATTAGAGTCTGTACAGATGTTTAAACAGCAACTAGATGCATACTAGCAAAAACATAATATTAAATTAATTTTTCAACTGTAGTATAATAGCTTCTTGATCCAAGGAAAAATCTGACTGCCATTCTGAGGTCGAGGGAATTTTTTTCCTAGTTTGTTGCAAAACTGGAAGTACTTTAAACTGTTTTGTTTTGGGGTTTTTTTGGATCAACTACAAAAAAAACAAATGTAAGGAAAGCTGAACGTGATGGACACATGTCTCTTTTTAGCCTATGTAACATACAGAGGGAACAAGGAACAATCTTCTTGGGAAGTGACATTTCCTCTTTAACCCATTAAGGTTGGCGGGCATTCTATGCTGTCCATCAGGAGCCGGCCAGCATAGAAAGTTCCTGCCATCCTGAGCACTCACCTGCTTCCCACCGTTCCTTTGCCTCTGACCGTAATTGGGGGGACTGCCTGTTTATAATCAAAATACAGTTAGAATGAAGGCTCGACCTGTATTTATGGGAGGGGTTAGTCAGCCTATAAATTCTCATGCCCTTTCCTCTGGGCCTATAATATATAGTCAATACATTGTTAAAAACAGATCTGCACACCAGTAAAGCCATAAGACTTGCTTTTCCCACAGAAATCTCAAATTTGCAGTGATGTTACTACTGCAAGGGATTCTTGGTGGGCATATGCAAATTAGTTTAACAAAGAATCAGATTTTCGCCTGTTATTTTGAACATGGACTCCTTGGAGTTTATGTTTGCCGTATACAACAGCTTTGAAACAACTGAAAGAGATGCAAAGCCAGTGAACCACTCATGGACAGCTGTTGCGTTGTTAATGCAACTCATCAGCATGAGGGTGGTTACTGGCTGTTACGTTTTTGGTATTACTTGCAAAGCACATGTTATACTGGGGAAAAATCGTGACTGAAAACCCCTTCCACCTGAAGCAAGTGGATAGTCAATATATTGTGAAGCAAAGATCAGCACACTAGTCAAGTCATTAGACTTGCTTTTCTGAAGATAACTCTGGTGACCCCCCTACGGCTAGCCCAACCATGGAAATGTCATTGGAATTTCCCCTGCTTCTACCCATCTCCTGCGATCTCTTCAGGGACCCGGCAGGCAACTTTCACCCGTTGGCACTTCAGGATCATCTCTGACTAGTGGCTTGGACTAGGGATCAACCAATATTGATTTTTTAGAGCCGGTACCGATAATCTGTGAACTTTCAGGCCGATAGCCGATAACTTGCCGATATTCTGTACATTTACCATTTTGAAAAAATAAACTAATTCGCAAGGTAAATGCTCAAAATATACATGCCACATGTAGTGGATGAAGTGTGTTTAGACAAGGGAGCTGTGTGTGTTTGTGTAGTGGATGCAGAGTGTGTGTTTGTGTAGTGTGTATAGTGAATGCAGTGTGTGTTTGTGTAGTGTGTGTATGTAATGCAGTGTGTGTGTGTAGTGTGTATATAATGCAGTGTGTTTGTGTAGTGTGTGTATGTAATGCAGCGTGTGTTTGTGTAGTGTGTGAGTGTGTGTGTGTGTGTGTGTAATGCAGTGTGTATGTAATGCAGTGTGTTTGTGTAGTGTGTGTATGTAATGCAGTGTGTGTTTGTGTAGTGTGTGTGTGTAGCGATTTGTGTAAAATGGGGGGGGGGGATTTATTTTATTTTAATTATTTTTTTAAATATATTTAAATGTTTTTTGTTTGTTTGATTAGTCCCACCCTCCCTGCTTCTTACCAGGGAGGGGGGATATAGTATTCCCTGGTGGTCCGGTGGCTTGTTAAGTACTGTGGGGGGCCAGCAGCAAGCGCTGACTTACCTTGCAAGCAGCTTCTCCAGCTCCCTGTGTAAATCTCGCGGCTCTTAGTGTCGCGCTGAGCGTTGCCATGGATTTACACAGGGAGCTGCAGGAGCTGCTTGCAAGGTAAGTCAGCGCTTGCCGCTGGCCCCCCACAGGACCACTGGGCTTGTAATGAGCCCGGCGGTCCTGTTATATATTATCGGCAATATCGGTATCTGAATTGGCCAATACCGATATTGCCAAAAATACCAAATATCAGTAAAACCGATAATCGGTCGATCCTTAGCTTGGACCATTTCAGGGGATCCTGGTAGGTCTCAGGCCTTCCGGCTACTGCTCAGGGACTCCATTGGGACTCATGGGCCCCTGGAACTAGACGCTCTTACCTCTATGCATGGCGTCCCTGGAGTTACTGGTGTTTGGAAAGGGACATTGATTCCTTTTCAACTCTCTAACTAACATTATCAAGTTCCTGTTGTTTCTTTTCGATCAGGGCAAATCCTACCAGTCTATTAACGTGTTTTCAATCTGCCATTCCTGCAGCTCATGTTCCTATTGACAATTCCTCAGTAGGCAAACATCCTTCTCTGTGTAGACTCGTCCGCATCACAAGGCATCCAGCTCCTAGATATAGTCAATTCTGGGATGTGGCTCTCATTCTAACATTCTTAGAATCTTGGCCAGACAATGAGGCGCTCTCTCTATGCCAGCTGTAAGCCAAATTAGCACTTCTTCTCTGTTTGGTCTCTTTCCGGAGAGTCTCCGACATCAGGGCTTTTGACTTTCATGTCCTCCATTTCACTCTTGAGGAGGTGAACGTCCACATCACTAGACGCACCAAGACCAATTAATCTACAGTAAGTTACCCTTCTTTTCCGGAGAAGCCCCTCCTCTGTGCTGCCCATTGCATAAGACACTACATATCTTGCACTACCCCTCTTAGAGTACCTACTGGGCCCCTCATTGTGTCTAATGTACAACCACACAGGCCAGTGTCCTGCCCTACTATTGCTCGGTGGATTACATGGCTTCTAGCTCTAGCTGGCATTGATGCATCTTTTGTGGCTCACTCGAGTTAGAGGCGCTACCGCTTCTTCCGTATTTATGGCTGGAGGCTCCATGGTGAAGATTTTATCCTCCGCTGATTGGTCCAGCAAGTCTACTTTCTGTACTTTTTTTATGCAATCTCCACCTGTTTCTCTATCCATGCTATCTACGCGTTAAAACAGCAAATATGAAGCCTCCTGTCTTGCCATACAATTTGGGATTATTCTAACATTTAGTGACCGAATAATCTAAATTTTATTAAAGACAGGAGGCGAATATTTTCCCACAATGAAATACTTTTACCCACCCTTCTCGGTAAGTACCTCCATTTCTAAATAGGTGGCTACTGTTCTCTTGGCTTGTCCTCCTTGTTTAACCTATACTTGTCATTTGATTTGTAACTTTGTATTTCTTGCCTTCAATTTGAACATTAGTTTCATTGCATTTTTAGTTTGGTTTTCTCTTGCCCAAGAGACCATACTTGCACGATGTTTCTCTCTTTCCTTCTAGTGTGAAGATTTTTTGTCATCCCTGTTTAAAGTTTCCTCCACCAGTTGAGCACGGTTTTCCTCCTACTTGATCTTACATCATTATCTACTCCTCGTCCTCTTGTTTTTCGTTTACATGGTTGACTCTACAGCTATTCGGCTGCATCAAGAAAGAAGGGAGGAGCCTGATGGCAGTTTATATTACTATGATGCATGCTGATTGGTTAAACTTTTTTACACTGATTGTTAACTATTTCTTTGCTGCTGGGAGTTTCAGTAAAGAAAGATAAGCACATATTCCCCTCCTGTCTTTAATAAAATTTAGATTATTCGGTCACTAAATTTTAGAATAATCCCAAATTGTATTCCTAATAAATTTGCTTAGACAGTCCCTTCAGCAGTCTTACTGTCCTAACACAAAGACGTTTCTGCTTCTCCTTGTTCCAGATAAACATTTCCTATTATATACACAATGTGCTAGAAAGGTCCTCCTGCCCACTCTCATTTTGTCTGTATAAGTGTAAACTCTTTCGTAATCTTCATATGTCTAGAATCTAAATTAAGTTTTTGTAGTAAACTCCAATGCTATACTAACCCAAACTCTATGCTTACACCAATGCTAAACATATACCTAGCTACACCATCTCTTACCTTAAAACATCAGTAACCTTAACGGGACACTCCAGACCCCTAAAGCACTTTACCTTGCTGAGATTCTTTGTGTGTGAAGAATTTGTTCTTTTTTTAATTTTACAAAAAGCACAGATTTCAATAAAAATTGCATTTTTATAAATTCAGCTGGTTACATTCTCCTTTCAAGGACCTCTATTACTTCCTGGTTTGGTTACCTCAGTGGGACTAAATTTAAGAGGCAGCAATTTTCCAGAGCACCTGCATGCAAAGACTTCCCACTGAGCTGTATTAGGAAGTCTGATTGGATAGCTACAGAAAGTCTGGGTGGGGTTAAAAGAGGAGGGCTAAAAATGCTGCAGACGCATGATTTGCAGGTTTTCAAGCAGTTTTAGAAATATCCATAATGTAAATTAATTAATGTTTTCATTGGGGTATATCTACTAAGTATTGATTTATTTTGTATTCGGATAGTGGAGTGTCCATTTAACTGTAAGGAAATACTCTGCTAATATCAGTACTGGATGTATGTTGCCACCATGACTTGCTTTTCTGTAATACAAAAATCAAACATGCTTTCCCAGCTGATTATTCTGATATGTGCTGGGCAGCTGGCAAAGCCAGGATCAGCTTGGTGGAGGGAAACCCGGTGTAAGAACTGCGGCTGAGTGCAAGGTGTTCTCAATGGATTTAAAAAGGTAAAATGCAGCACTCCCTTTGAACGATGGATACAGTTCGTCAGTCTAGGGCCACTAAATCTGGGTCCAGCTGATGGAGAAGAGCCCAAGGTATTAACTGATACTGGGTCTTTCTGGTGTGAACAGGGGAAAAAAAATATGTTGAAGCAATTGGCATTTAAATGATTGTAGCTGCGCTCCATCGATCAACTGATATCTGGGTCACCTGGTGTGAGAAGGGATTTTACTCTTCTCATGCCACATTGCAGTCAATGCAGATTTAAATCTCCCCACTTTCAGCTCTGCTTACAGCTCTTCGGACAGTCTAGGGCCACTAGTAATGGTCCCAAGCTGACAGAGAGGAGTCCCAACTATCATTTGATGCAATCCTGCTCATACCAACACGTTAGATCGTGTTATTACATCCTAGTGGCGTTAAAGCCTAGTATAGTTAGAATGTAATGAATGACACATCCTAAAGTTGTGACTAAAAGATAATTTTTCAAAAAAGGATACTCCCCAGTGATTCACAGGCTCTCCTCTTTTCTGTCCTGACATTCAAACCACTCTTGCACACCACCCTTCTTTAATCTCAAAAGGAGCCTCAAACCAATCAGGTTCTATGAACTTACATGAGTTTTTCATTATTTTTATGAAAAACTGAAATGTCTGCTTACCGTAAATTCTTTTTTTCTTAATATGGTGGCAGTACCTGTGGGTCTGCCCTTCCCCCTGGGACAAGCACCTGTAAGATTATTAAGATGAGCAAATCCCTCCCCTTTGCCCTATATAGGGCTACTAAGGCAAACCTACCCCAGTAAGTAGCAAGAAAACACAGACAATATAAACTGCAAGTTAAAAATATTTAATTTAGAGGGAGGGAAAGCTGTACTGCCACCATAGGGTCCTACACCACTACAGGTTGCAACACCTTATGCCCAAAGCCCGCTTCAGAGGATGAGAATATATCTAGCCTATACTGCTTGAAGAAGGTGTTAAATGAAGACCATGATCCTGCCTTAGAGATGTCTTCTGGAGAAGCAAGAGCCCTTTCTGCCCATTAGGTAGCCATAGCCTGAGTGGAATGGGCTGTGAGAAACCACAACTTGACATCCACAGGAAGAATATACCAATCTAATAGTTTCTATGATCCAATGAGACAAAGAATTACGATAGGAATCTTCTTTCCCCTTAAATTTTCCCTCATAGTTAAAGGACCCCCTCCCGCCGGGCTCTAGGGTGAGGAAGGGCTTAAAATCTTACCTTTTTCCCGCGCCGGGCTCCCTCAGCGCTGGGGAATCTTCTCCTTCTTCTGCCGTCATCAGCTGAATGCGCATGCCATTTCCTATGGACGCTGGTGTCTCCTCACTGTGAAAATCACAGTGAGAAGCGCGGTAGCGCCTCTAGCAGCTGTCAATGAGACAGCCACTAGAGGCTGGATTAACCCATTTGTAAACACTGCTATGTTTACAGCAGAAAGGGTTAATCCTAGAGGCACCTGGCACTCAGACCACTTCATTGAGCTGAAGTGGTCTGGGTGCCTATAGTGGTCCTTTAACAAACAGATGCTCAGAATTTCTGTACTCCGTTGTTCTAGAAAGATAAATCTGCAATGCTCTTCTAACATCCATGTTATGCCATTTAAGCTCCTGAGGGGAGGAGGCATTACTACAAAAAGAAGGCAAAATAATAGGTGGATTCACGGTCTTTGAAGACAAAACCTTTGGTAAAAAGGAAGGTTTAGGGTGAAGAACAACCTTGTCCTTGTGGAATACTGTAAATTCATCTGAGGTTGAAAGAGCCTGAAGTTCACCGACTCTTTTAGCCTATGTGATGGCAACCAAATAAATCAACCTTGAAGGACAAAACCTTTAAAAGAACCTCTTCTAAAGGCTCGAAAGGGGGTTCACAGAGAGCCTGTAAAACCAAGGATAAATCCCAGGAGGGAAAAACAGATCTCCTAGGAGGATGTCTGAGTCTGATGGACTTAAAGAATCTTCTGATCAGCACATGGGATGCAAAATTCCTAATAAGGAAGAAACTCAAGGCTGAAATCTAAACTAGATACACCTAAACCTGCAGAAAAAACTATCCTGGAAAAAGTGAAGAATGGTGTCTAGAGATGGATGAACACGCTGCAGTGGTGTTCCTTACACCAATGAAGAAACCTGACCCGGATACGAAAGTAGATTTTTGAAGCGGAATGCCTAGTTGATTGAAGCAAAAGAGAAACTCTGTCTTCTTGCAGTCCTTGATGACGAAGAATCAACTTAGCAGTAGCCAGGCTGTCAACCTGAACATCTTCAGAACCTCTAGTGGTAGATTCCTGTTCACTATGAGATAGTTCGAGATTCGGAGTTTCCAGCATGCGGAGGCCATCTTTTTTAAAGCCAAGAACCAAACCCTGTTTGGCCAGGGCCACAGCTCTGTCTGCTCTTAATTTCTGAAGAATCCTTGGAATTAGCTTCAGCGGAGGAAAGACGTAAGCCAGCCTGAAATTCCACTTCATTGACAATCCGTCTATCCACTGAGGGTGATCTGCTCTGAACAGGTAGGGAACTTTGGGAACCTTGTTGTTTGTACTTCTTGCCATCAAGTCTATGTCTGAAATTCCAAATTTCCTTTTCAGAATCTAGAAACTTATTGGATTCAATGACCACTCTTTCTCATCCCACTTTCCCCTGCTGATATCGTCGGCTATGATATTGTCGATCCCTCTGATGTGTACTGCAAAAATATCCTCTAGATACCTTTGTGCCCACTACATAATTTCTGAGGATAGGCGATAAAGAGCTCTTACTCTGGCTCCTACTTGTCGGTTGACATACAAAACCACTGTACAATTGTCAGATTGAAGTCTTACGGCCTTCTGTTGTATCCACTGTCTGAAGTGATTTAGGGCGAACAGCACTGCTTTTAACTCCTTGAAATTTGCGGATTCTCCCTTTTCCTTGACTGACCATGCACCTTGAGACATGATGGAGCCTAGATGAGCTCCCCAACTTGTTTTGGATGCATTGGTAGTGATCACTAACCAGATCTTTGGTCGGAAGAAGCCTGTTGAAAGGAACTCTGACGTTCTCCACCAAGATAGTTGAGCTTTTAATTGGGGAGAAATCTGGAACCACACATCTAGATCCTCTTCCGTTCTTGACCAGGCTGTTAGAATCTCCCTATCGCCTTACATTGGATTTTGCCCAAGGGAAAGGAGGATGTGAGAAAGCCTAGAATGCTCATAGCGTGTCTGATGGAACAACTTTACTCTTTTTGCAAACTGAACACTATTCTTCGACTCTTCTTTCTCTTTTGTTTGGGAAGATGAACCGACAAAGTGTTTGATCACAAGACCTAGGAACTCTATCGCCCTTGTTGGAAGAAGAATTTACTTTTTTAAATTTAGGACCCAACCATGATCCTGTAGTAGCTTGATAGAGATCTGTAGGTCGTTGAGAAGAAGCAGTCTTGTTCTTGCTATGAGAAGCCAGTTGTCCAAGTATGGGATGATTGAGACTAGCAACTCCCTCAAAAGAGCTGTAATGGGAGCCAATATCTTGGTGAATATTTTCGGGGCAGATGATAGGCCAAACGGAAGAGCCCTGAACTGGTAATGATAGAAAGTCTTTTTGCAGACGTCTGGTATAAGAATAAGGTTTACTTCCTTCATAAATTTGCGTAGTTCACCTGGAGGGAACCCAAGCATTTCACATGAAGATGAACTAGACATGTCTGAATCTGTAGAGGCAGAACATTCACCAGATTAAGTTTCCGATCTAGAAGATCTCCTTTTCTTGACCCTCTGACTCATTTCAGGAAGTGCAGCAAAAAAACTTTATTAGATTCCTTAATAGTATCCAGAACAAGGTCTGGGCCAAGTTATCCTGAAACCAGGTTAGGAAAGATTGCATGTCCTTCTGTTTAGACTTTTCCTAGGAAATTGTAGTACACTGGTTGCATACCTTTTTTCCTCGTGCCAACTGGAAGCAGAGTTGCACACTCACTGCAAGCTAAATGCTTAGATTTTGATGTAGCCTTTCTGGTTGTAGGGGTCAGCAACTTCTTTTCCATTTCTGGATATACAGGACTAGGCAGCGTTCGACTACAGGCACAGGGCCAGTTACTTCCTACCTGCGCCAAGGACCGCCTCCATGCAGACGCCAGAACCCTTCTTGGCATAAGAGTGCTTTGTGAGCTTCACTCCGTAACCACAGAGGCAGAAGCTCAGCTAATAACCCAGACCATCAACCCGTGTGTCTCACCTACCAACAGATGCCAGTCCATCCCTGACAAGGAAGGAACCGGGGTAGGTTGCCTTAGTAGCCATTTATAGGGCAAGAGGGAGGGATATGCTCATCTTAATTATCTTACAGGTGCTTGTCCCAGGGGGAAGGGCAAACCCACAGGTACTGGCACCATATGACAGAAAAAAAAACAACAACATTTTACTGGATCTGTTGGGTCAAGCATGTATGCGTTGTAAGCATTCAATGAGATAGAGCTCAAAAGCACTACCATAATTCAGTGGGTGCATCTAATACCAAACATTTCACAGAGTATGTGGTTGTGTTGCCACAGGCTTCATTCATCAAGAGTGTCGCTGATGGACAGCCCATGCTGATATCCTAACTAGAGCTGCCCACTTGCAGAGTGTAGTAGAGGAGCAAAGATAAAATGCTTTTGATACACCAGAGAAAAGTTCCCCAAAAATCCTAGAGCACGTATGTAAAATGCGTGTACACTACTGAAGGCCAATACAATACAATGCATTTTGTGTTAGCTCAGGGCTTGACAAATTTGCTTTGAATCTAGGAGTCAGATTTTAAAATACAAATCTTAAAGGGACACTCTAGTCACCAGGACTACTACAGCTTAATGTAGTGGTTCTGGTGTCTATAACCTGTCCCTGCAGACTTTTCAATGTAAACACTGCCTTTTTACATTGCTTCATAGGGACACCTCTAGTGACCGTCACTAGAGATGCTTCCTGGGTCAGTGCTGCACAGTGTGCAGCACCAACATTCAGCATCTCCACACTCTGCATTGAGGTGCTGAACGTTCCCCATAGACATGCATTGATTCAATGCAGCTCTATGAGTAGATGCTGAGTGGTGCAGCATTTTGCAGCCAATCGTATGGCAAAACATTGTAATGGCTGAGATAATCAAGTTTGATAATCTCAGCCATAGAAGCGGGGCCTGTCGATGGGAGACCAGCACGGCATGGGAAAAAATGTGAGTAAAAACACCATTCCTTTGCGAACGGAAGGGGTCTGGTCACCTAAACACACACACATCATGACAGACACAAACATCATGACACAGACATACACACACACCCCCCATGGCAGACACACACAAACACTCACATTATGACAGACCCACACTTACACATTATTGCTTGATTTAGTACCTCGGGTCCAGTGGGCGGAAAGCTGGGGTATTTTGTAGGAAAGCAGCATGCTGGGGGGTGGGGGGTCGTGGAGGTGGGCGGCTAGCTGGGTGGTCGTGGAGGTGGCTGCGCGTATTGTTGCTGGCAGCAAGGGAGCTGTGATGTCTTTGCTCTGCTCCCCCACGCTTAGTGAAACTGGGGCCAGAATATGATGTCATATCCCGGCCCCTCTAAGCGGCGCGCGGGGGAGAAGAGCAGAGACATCACAGCTCCCTCGCCGCCCTCTTATTCGTGCAGCCAGCAACCCGCCTCCACGAACCCCACCAGCATGCAGCCTTCCTACAAAATACCCCAGCTTGCCCCTGACCGACCACCCGCCCTGGAGTTAAGGGGCTCGCATATCCCAGACGCAAATGCAAAATTCTTAGGCGCCATGGCGACCTGGAATTTGTTGAGCCTTGTGTTGGCTCGTCTACAGCGCAGATCATAGGACAGGTGTGCCAATCATGACTACTCTTTTATAGATCTGACAAAACCCAAAAACCCCAGGTACCATACAAATATTGCAATACGTATTGAATACTTGTAAATTGTCAAGAGGAACCTCTTCTGCTAACAAAATCCCTACTCTTTCTTTCCCCCAAAAGCTAAAACTTAAAAATAACGCAGACATGGGATTTGTAATAAACTGTTTTAATAAGATTATAAGTAGTTTTTACACACACCATTTGATTTTTGATGCATCATTTGTATTCAGGTGCACATAACCATTAAATATGCTTTCAAACAAGCACAGATGTAAAGCAGCAATCCAGCATTGCTCTAATATAGGTGGCACAGCAATTACGGCAGATCCTTGGTACTGCAGCTGCTGTGGGCCACATCTCCCATAATGGCTGTGCATTGATGGAAATGCAATCTACAAAAGCTGCAGTTACTATGGCTAGCCACCACTGTTCTATAGATCACTCATTTTTTAAATCAGGCTAGAGTGGACAGAAGCTCACACAGTTTTGAAGAGATTGCAATGACTGTCTAGCAAATGGATGGCTCATCTACAGCTTGTGCTCCTTCGGTTACAGCTTTCACACACTTGGCCATTGTCTGTGATGCCCGGGAGATGGGATCTACAAAATAATTTTAGAGTATTTAATTCAAAATTCTCATGCACTACCAAATAACAAAACAAATTAAAAATTAAGTCAAATTTTTGCATATTAATGGTGTGTATTATGACCCCGCATGGGACAGACACAATGAGATTTCTAGATGGCAATTAGAAATTTAATAGGGAGAAAAAAAACTCAATTGATAAACAAAGTGTTAAACTATGATGAGATTATGAATGAGACACGATGCACCATGAGCATTACAACACATTGTAGATGTTATGGTACATTGAGTATTTTGGTGTTGTCATCTAGTTTTCACATCATTTACTGCCTCATCACTCACAGCTCAAAGTTTGGACGGGCAACCAGACATGTAACAATCCAATTTATCGTAGTGGATGCATAGGGTCTGAGCTGTAGTTGCAGTTGTGTCAAATTGTTTGAAAGTTGACAAAAAACTGGGGAACTGTACCAATAGACTCATTGCATCATAACCTCAAATTAGCTACAGTGGTAAAGAACTTTATATAGTGTCACTTTGTTTTTATATTTATAGTCACTTTAAAATATAGTTACCTAATTTGTATAACCTGCACGGATGATGATGTAAATATACAGCAAGAGATTCTTCAATTTGGCACAACTGATTAAAGAATCACTATAGGGTCAGGAACACAAACATGCAATTCTGACCCTATAGTGCTAAACCCACCATTTAGGTGGCTTGCCCCCCCCCCCACCCTTAGCCCCCCTGTAAAAGTTTAAAACTCACCTTATTTCCAGTGCCACGTGGGTCCGCTGGCACTGGCTCCACCTCCTTTGGGACATCATCAAAAAGGGCGATTTTTAGCCAACCCAATGTTTTCCTATATGTTTTGGAAAAGTGTTGGATTGACTAAAATAGGCACAAGGGTGGGGCCAGATGCCATTTTGGCAAATCAGGACCTCCTCATAGAGATACATTGAATCAATGCATCTCTATGAGGAAAATTCAGCGTCTCCATGCAGCGCGTGGGGACTCTGAACTGCAGGGCTAGTTACTGTGCAGCCCTGAGCCAGGAAGCCCCTCCAGTGGCCATCTAAGGAGTGGCCACTTGGAGTTGTCCCTAGAAGCAATGTAAACACTGCCTTTTCTCTGAAAAGGCAGTGTTTACATGAAAATACCTGAAGGGAGTGATTATACTCACCAGAACAACTATATTAAGCTGTAGTTGTTCTGGTGACTATAGTGTCCCTTTAACCGTAAAGGGATACTTTAGTGCCAGGAATACAAAGCTGCCTCTCTCCTCCCCGATAAATAAAGGGTTAAAACCACAACGAGCGGGTGCTAAAGCGCACGTGCGGCAAATGCTGCGTGCACTTTAGACCTCCCCATAGGAAAGCAATGAAATAATGTTTTCCTATAGAAAAAAATAAAAAATATTGACGCTGGAGGTCCTTATGCAGAGCCTGAGGACGTCCAGCATCAGATACCGGACCAAAGGTCCGTTTCAATTCAGGAAGCCCTCTAGTGGCTGTCTGGTAGACAGCCACTGTGGGCAGACAGAGCTGCAATGTAAATATTGCAGTTTCTCTGTAACTGCAATGTTTAACATTTCAGCACTAAGTGCAAAAGGGACATTGCACCAAGACCACTTCAATGAGCTTAAGGAGTCTCCTCTCCATAAATACATATATAATTAAAAGAATTATTGATTTTACCTCTTGATTGTCAAACTATGCCCAGACTTAAAATAGTAAATTTTGATCTAGTTATGTTTTCTCGGAACCTGATTAATTCTGCCTTGTAGTCATACAGTTATAGAATAAGCACCTATATGGCATTGTTGCCAAGAAGGTCTGTGGTTTAAAGAATGTAGAAGAGCTACTACATTTTGAATAGCTAAAAGAACACTAAAGAGTTATACAAACATGTATTTCTAACGCTTTAGTGTGCCTGTCCCTAGGTAGATTAAAAAAAGTCAAGGCACCATGGAACTTAGAATTAGTACCTACAGGCCACAATTGGTCTCCTTGTGGGTCTGGAGAAAATCAAAAAGTGACATGCAAACTTACCAATGTAATTATTCTCTCTTCCCTCTCCATGCCATTCACAACTGTTTGTGGTAAGGATGGAGAGGAGATTGGATGTCTGCAGCTAATAAACTGGCAGTCTCTGCATAACGTGGGAGGCAACATTACAGGAAAATAACAATCCCAGATTGTGTGGACAGCCACACTGCTTGTTAGATTGTAAAACCCATTAATACAGACAAACAATAAGGTAGATCCAAAGTTACTTACCGGTCATATAGAAATCTTTAATTGTCAGCTGAGGGGCGATCAGAGGATCTATAAGCACTTGCTGGTTAACAAGCTGAAACAAGACATATAAATAAGGCAACATAATGGAGACTATTCCAGGGATGCAAAATATCAATCGGATATCAATAAAATACCTTTGACAACTCTGTTGCCTGCTTGAAATAATTAGCTTCTTCAACCTCATCATATCGAACTAAGTTTGGAGAAACTTGTTCCAATCTGTCTCGGACAGCGTCGTGATCGTCATATGGGAGGGTGACACCTGCCAACTAAAAAAGATCACACATTTATCAGGACAGGGTTTTAAACAGCTGCACATAAATAAAGAAACCTTTACAAATATTGTATAATTAAAAGTATATACAATACCTCTGAAATGGCACGAATAATTTTCCAGTCCTCTCTTGCCAAGCCAGGGGGAGTGACAGCCACAAAGGTTCTCTGGGCCCTGCCTTCTGTGTTAACATAGGTTGCTGGTTTTTCAGTGTAAGCAGCCCCTGGGAGAATAACATCTGCCATGGGTGCGCCTACATCCCCATGATGACCTGGAAAGCAAGTCTGAATTTATATAATCACAATGACAAACCGCAATATAGAGCCAAGAATATAAGGATTCATAGAAATCTTAACTTAAAAAAGGGAGTTGCCACTATTTTTATTTTATTTTTTTTATTTATTTTACCTTTTCCCTTTATTTAAAAGGAGCAGGCTAATCACCTTAACTACTGCAGCCCATTGTAGTGGTTATGGTACTAGGAGGCAATTGTGGTTGTCCCTTGCTTCCATGTCAAACTGCTTGTTCATACTTTGATTAGCTGAGCGAGTTAGCTGACACATGTGCAAGGGATCAGGGGACTCATTTAAAAGTAAGCAGAGAATTACAAATTAACCATAATTACAGGTGATATAATAGGCAATTGTTTATTCAGAGGTGTTGTTTTCAGAGAAGTGATGGTTTCCCCCTTTAATGCCATATATCAAACAACAGGGAGTTTGAAATTTGAAACGCTAGCTTGTAATTATAGAATACATAATGGGCCAAATTCCCCCTCTTGCCTTTCACATACCAGGACACACTCTTTGAGCTATTTTGGTAAACAAAAGTATAAGCCAATCCATCTATGTACTACAATTATATGATAACAAAAGAGCATCTGCTTGTAAACATTATTAAAGGAACACACCATGCATGGAGCAGTTGCTAAAGAAACTTCCAGCAGAAATGGGGAGACCCGTAACACAGTATTTCTGTTTCATAGGTACACAGCACACTTGTCATAGAAAGGAATGGAGAGGCACCTAGTGTGCAATGCAGCTACTCAAAGCACCTCACACAGATTGATTGGCAGGCTTTGAGTGACTGCCAGATCTTGATTAAGATGAACAGCAGGTATTTCTGATCCATGGGAAAACCTCCAAGATGGACATCCAGGGGTGATGGTAGATAGGAAGGTAAATTGGCTTAGGAGTGTCTTAGCACATCAGAGTGTTGTCCATTCCAACAAAACAGGTTTATTACCTTAATAAGACTGTAGGATACATTGTTTATGATAAGTCATGTAAGTTTTAATATCACATAGGTCTAGGTAAACCTGTTCAGCAAATATTAAGATACGGACACATTTCTGTTTTTGTAACACTATGGTTTCTGCATCTTCACATGGCCCGGAAAGTCTCCTAATATGTGTGATGTGTGAAACAGCCTTGGAAACTAGTCAAATGTAAGCTTACTACAGAAGATTCTGTAATGATAACCGGTATTGGATAGTAAGCCACTTGAAAAGGGTTTCCATTATTCAGTAAACCAAAACCATTAAGGGTCAGTAAGGTTTTGTGCAGTCATGATAAACTGGGCCACTTGAAGCTGGATATCAGAAGGCATCACCCTGATTTACCATCAGGATGGCTCTGCTGAGATGTGATCCTACATATTTAGAAGTCCCATCAAGACACTGTATTTGTGGCCCAAATGATATCAAGGAATGTGATCATTGCGTTTGTACAATATAATATCAGAATTTGATAGATTGCAGTGACACATCTATAAACCTTGAGCTCTACAAGTAGTTAATTAAGAAGATACCTTGGTAGATAATGAAGCAGTCTTTTGGCAAATCCTGACGTGTAATAGTGCCTGCATCAGCACCAAGTAGGAACAATACTTTTGGAGGGTTCCTTCGTATAGCATCCACTCCAGGCTTGTAACCAAGATCTAAGGCAGCGACCTGACTTGCAACTCTGAACATAGTAAAATAAAACACATACATTAAATTTAATGTTTGCACCATACAATAACCTTTACAATGTAACTGAATCAAATTGAGTATTTGAAAGGTGTAAGATCAATTCAGCACATGCATACATATACTCAATATCCAGTACTTCACAGACTGCAATAGGTAAATGTATTTCCGTGGCATAAATGCTATAATCCATTATGAACTTGCATAACCTGTGAAACTTTACAATGCAATGAATGGTTGCTGACATATGTAGAATGAGTCACAGATACTGCTTTAATTAAACGTAATCTGACAAATGGTTGTGTGATGATAATAAAAAATAAATAATGATTCCAAAGCGATTATCTTGACTTCCTTCCAGGTCTCTGGAAAACTAGTCATATGACTATTCATTGAAGTGCAATCTCATACATAAAATTATAATGAATTTGCACTCATGTGGATCAGAGACATAAACTAGACACAGTGTTCCCCAACCCAGTCCTCATGGACCACCAACAGTCCAGGTTTTTGTCAGTATCTCCATTGGAATAAAACAGGGACACACACAAATCCTGGACTGTTGGTGGTCCATGAGGACTGGGTTGGGGAACATTGAACTAGAGTATGAATCCTCTGAGTGAAAATTTGCAACAACTTCAGTATTCTTCTACCAGTGTGCATACATTTGTACCATTATCATTTTCTCAAAATTTGATAATGCGACCAATAAGAATGAAAAGAACATGATTCGTTAACAAGACATTTTTTAAATGTTATTTGATGTCATTCTTTAGTGGGTAACAATACAGTGCACCCCACTTTGTTTCTGCACCTTTGAATTGCAAAAGAGAAACAAAAATAAAAGTGCCAACCTTTATTTTAAGGGATTTAATAAGGTTTCTATAATGTATGTTTGACAAATCTTTGTAATATAACACAATAAAAAAATACACTATACTATTCGTGGGATAAGCAGGTGTTGGAAATGTTTTATTTTTTTTTGTACAATAGTAAAGATAACCAACCTGTGCAGAACATTCAGCACTTTCCATTCCTCGCCAACGCCACTGCTAGTCCTTACATTTTGTGCAATGGTAGAAACTGCTGTGTGAATGGCTGCACCATCTTTGCGCTGCAAGGCACTGCTACCAACAACTACCATGGGCTTCTTGGCTTGTGCAAGAACCTGAGAAGCAAATACCACCATATCAATGGAATCAAGCCTCCAATCACATGAGCCATACGCACCAAAAGGACGTGCCAGCATATTTCCCAGTCAAGATGTGTTAGTATCACAGCTAAGTACTATGCTTACTATACATCAAAGACTAGAAGTCAGTGGGTTCCTGTACTGTTCTAACCAGAGAGAAATGTCCAGGGCACTGAATGCTTTTGCTTATTACCTACATCAGCTGCTTATCAATTCAATTTACTTCACTGTAACGGACACATTGCCAGATGAGAAACCCAATGTCAGTGCAGAAACTTGATTTTTTGTTTGTTTGTTTTTAGCCCTGAAGTCAATGTGAGGTGGCCTGTAGGCGACTGATCTAGGAGTATTTTTTTACTGCTCAAATGCTTCCCCTTTATGCAAAAAATAAACTTATTTACGTATTTGATAAAAACAAGATCAAAATGTTTCCCACTATTGAGGCATACAGAAACCAACAGCTGACTTTAGATTGGACACTATGTGAGAAGTGTCTGCCGGATGTTAAAGAATCCCCAAATGGGGAAATAAAAGGAAAACCAATACACAAGGAATTGTAATGGCAACTGGCCTAGTTAGTTTGATTCTTAGAGTTTCCTTTAAACGTGCATCTTGACCTATTTGTGGCCAGCAGGTTTGTGAGACTGTTGTCTATAAACACTAGTGTGTAAATGCAAAGCCATTATTAAGGTTTAATAATGCATGTAGAATTCTAGACCTGTCCATCAAGGTGTCAAACACCAATTCAAAAGTGACTGCCTACTGTAATAATACATTTATTACAGAAAATGTAAAACACATTAGAATGAAATTGAAATAATCATTGTTACACACCTTGCTGAATGGGTGCTTTCCTGATGCAATCTCCTTGAGTATCTGAGGGGACTCTCCCAAATGATCATATGTGTAAGTCAAGTCCACTGCACTTCCAATCACTGCCACCTGCAGGTCATTGTGAAGCCAGCTAAAACAAAACATCAGAGGGGTTTTTTGGGGGGGAGGCAGCTATTTTGTAGGTTATTGGTGGTGGTGAACAAATTCCTTTTGATTTATGTCTTGTAATATTTAATAATATTAAAATATTTGATTTAAAACTGCAATGCACTTGCTTTTTTCAGTCAATCAATATTTAGCATCAGTTTCACTGGAGCCAGCTGCAACCTTTGAATATTTTAACATTTTATTGTATTGTAGTATTATGTTGAAGAGACATAAAACAGATACAGCGACAGGGCTGTGCCAGACACCAGCATGAGAAAAATAAACCAAAAACACAACCACTAAACAATTCAACTTAGATGTTTCTTGTTTCAGAGTTCTGAGGCAGTGTAACCCAAAGTATATTTATAAAATACAAACCTCTTACGAATCCTTGCATTAAACAACGGGGCTTCATAACGTGGGTTTGTCCCAACTAGCAGCAGAAAATCAGCTTCTTCAACACCATTAATTTTTGAATTCAGGAGATAATTTGAACGCAAATCAGTGCTGCAATATGGTAGGGGAAAATTATTTTTTTAAAGTTAGTAAACAAACATTATGTTTATTAAAAAGTTATAGTAAACAAACATTAATTCTAGTAAAGTCTTTAAGAGTATGTATTACATGGATATTCAATACAGTAGAACCATACCCAGCTCCAGAGTTGGGGAACACTTCCTCTGTGCACAAGACATCTGAATTCAGCCTGTTCAACAAGTCTTTAAGCGCAATAAGTGCCTCTGCATCAGCTAGTCCTCCAGCAATAGCAGCAACAGATGAGCCCTGAACATTTTGCAGCTGAAAGGTGTGACAAAATCTATCATGTTTTTGGTTGAAGATTTACAAAACCTAAGTTTTCGTGTATGCCCATATACTGCCAAAATGAGTTTGGCCCACAAATTCACATAAAATTGTCAAGCTGGGATAAGATGAAATCTAACTCATGAGAATACTAGAATTTTTTATGTATAGAGCATGTCTTACCACTCCAGCCACTCGGGCTAGAACATCTTCCCACGTTGCGTTAACCAAATGACCTGTGTCATCTCTGACCATTGGTTGTGTCAGCCTCTGCCGCTTCAAACCATCATAAGCAAATCTGTTCAGTAGAGATATGGTGGAATTAGAGTACGCAGGGCAAATTTACAATATTACTTGTGAATAGATTAAATTAAATATTAAAGGCTATTGATATACCTATATTAAGGCTGTGAATAACTCAAAATGTTTAAATACATAAAAAAATAAAACACACACACTATATGCACCCACTAAGTGAACTCATTCACCCAAATTGGATGCCACAGCGTTTGATATAGAGGGGAAGTAAAACATCTTCTTTTGAGGTCAGGGTCAAAATGAGCAGTCTTACAGCTGTACAGATATATTTTGAACATCACTACGGCTATAATATAAAGTATGCAGAGAAAGGATATCCTACCAAAAAAACATATGTTGTTATGGTGCTTAAAGTCCTTTTGGGAAAAAAAAGTCAATTTGTTAGCAAGTAAATAAACTATATATGTGCTCCCTCTTCATTTTGCATTCCACCACAAAACTGTACTTTTCTGTAATTTTCTTAGCAGCAAAAAATGGTCACAACTAAAAACTTGTTTAACTCGTGTTTCACATGACCCTGGAACTCTTACAAAATGTCAAACATGTCAATTCATGATAAAAAGTACATATCCCACAGTATATTATGCGTTTATTCACATGAAATAATTTTCTTTAAAAGCATGACTTCTGTATTTAACCAAGAAAACAATTCAACATCAAACAGTCAATTCACTAGATTAATGAATTAATAAAAATTACTAATTGCCCTGTCTAACATAATGTAGTTCAATTAAAAAAAGTGATCACTATATGGGAGAAGCGTTTATATAAACAGTAGATTTAGCTGTTGGTAGAAAATGTAATGTATAACAAAGAAATAAGAAGAGTGTGGTCTTGCCAGTACATTTTACCTGGTTTTATCAGATATCCATTCTTCATTGATGTCCTCGTTTATTTTAGGCAGGATTCTCATTACTTCTCCACCTCTTGTGCTTACCACAATGTTACTACCAAGAGCATCTAGAACATCGATGGATTCGGTCTTTCTGTTCAAGGAAAATAGAACACACATAATTACAGATTGTTAATGATTTTTAGATTTAGCCCAGTGGTTACCAAACTTTTTAGGTTCAAGGCGCCCTTAATATTTTTTCAAGGTGACCCAAGTCAAAAATTTATTTAGGTTGTATATATGTACAGTGCAGCGGCATATACTGGGCCCTTGTTTGGCAGAAATGCTTGCCGTTCAAGCACAGGTCCAGAACCTAATCTTGGGAGGGGCACTGGTAGACTATTTAGAGCAACAATCTAGGCACAATAACCACTACAGCACTTTGTAGCGGTTATGGTGCCAGTAGTGCCCTACCAGAGTAAGTAGTAAAACTGTTTAAGAACAGTTTGACAACTTACCTGGGATCTGCCTGGATACGGGCTGTAGAGGGGGATAGGTGTAGTAGTGTGTGTGAGGGGTGCAATATGTGCGTGTGTGAGGGGGAGCAGTGTATGTGGGGCAGCTTGTGCATGAGGGGTACAGTGTGTGTGTGGGGGCAAGTTGTATGAGGGGTACAGTGTGTGTGGCGGGGCAGGTTGTGTGACGGGTACAATGTGTCTGGGGGGTACAGTTTGTTTGTGTATGGGGGGTAGTGTGTGTGTGGAGGGGGAAGTGTGGGTGTGTGTGTGTGTGTGTGTGTGATGAGAACAGGGCGTGTGAGCGGGGGAGTGCAACACTCCAAGCTTGCGAGAAGAGAACCCGGCGGAGCTGCAGGTCCCTCAGGTCCTCTCTCGCTCCCTCCTCTTCCGGCTGTCAGCATTACAGTGCTAGCAGGCTGGAGGGGAGATGTCCTGCAGAGCCGGCAGGGGAGAGGGAGGCACAGTTCCCCATGCTATGATCATAGCACCGGGAAAATATTTCGCGACTCCCCTGTGTGCCACACAGTTCTGGAACCCCTGGTTTAGACTATAATTTTAGTATTACTAAAACAGCTTCTGTTGATCATCTAACTCCAATATAAATCATTGATGATTAACCTATAGCATGGGCCAACTTGCATGACTCAGATTTCTGAGATGGCACTCTGGCCTGTAAGGTAGGTATCAAACTCGGAGTCTCAATTAAACATGGTGTCCTCAGACATATATTGCATGTAACTTGTCACAGCTGCTTATACAAACTCACAAGAAGCACTAACGGAAGTAAAGAAAGTACTTTCATATGCAATAGTGGGATGTGGAGAAGCTTTACCACTATGGGGGAGATAGGCAGAAAAACGGATGTAGAATAGGAACTCATATGGTAAGAAAGAAGAGGGTCGATATGAAAGATTCAAAACAGGATATATATAGAATGTAAAGGGAGTATACACATTCAAGTATAGAGTAAGTACAGAAATTAAAATCTGAGACAGAAAAGAAAGGAGTCTAAGGGGTTATACCAAGCACCATGAGCACTCCCCCTCTCTCCCCAAAGTAAGGAGAGTGACATTACAGAAAGACTTGCTACAACCAAAACGGTTTTATTAAACACCATTTCTGGTTGGATTAACCCTTTAAAGGACCATCTAGTGAGCAGGAGACAAATGGCGGGACTGAGGAAGAGGGAAAGAGAGCTAAAGTGAATGGGGAACGTACGAAGAAAGGAAGTGGAACATGTAGCTTACAGATGAGAGTTACAGAAGGAACAGGAAGCAGATATGGAGGAAAGGACTGATAAGCAGGATGGAAAAGAAATTGGAAATAAAGATATGGAGAGTGAGGAATTACACAAAGGAAAGGATGAACAAAAAGGAGTGTAATTTTATGCAGGATACCCTTTAAAATGTTTTATTCTGAAGGGAACAAATCTGGAATTTAGAATGCATTATGCACACATTAAAACATGAATACCTGGTTTCCCAAGGACGAGCTGTGAATGCATATGGTTTGGAGGTTAATGCTCCAACAGGGCAGAGGTCGATGATATTCCCAGAGAGCTCAGACATGAACATTTTCTCGACATAGGTTCCAACTTGCATCTCATTTCCTCTTCCTGTAGTTCCCAGATCATCTACTCCAGCAATCTCACTGGCAAACCTGAAAGTTTACAAATTAATACTAAACACATACAGATAGTAAAAATTAGGCACATAACAGTTAAAGGAACACTAAAGTGCTAGGAATACAAACGTATTTTACATTGCAGGGTTAAAAACTAAATGACCACTGCACTCAGGCCACTTAATTGAGATCAAGAGGCCTGGGTGACTTTAGTGGTGCCTTAAGTAAAAGAAAATCCTTAAGGTATATGTTTACATTACCACTTGCATAATGTTAAAATCCAAATCATATACATTTTGTGTAACCAAAGCAGCTATCAAAGGAAAACCAATTACCTTGCAATTTAAGTGACTAAAAGGCCATTTATTTCAAGAGTGCACAGTTTGAATAAGTATTCACAACAAGCTAATTTACCTTATACATCGAGTGCACTGTATACAGCGAGTCATAATGGTTTTGACAAGAGGACCAATGTTCTTGTCCTCCACAGCACGTTTCCCATCTAGGAAACGACTCCGATCACTGCCAAACATCATAGACTGATCCTACAGATGGAAACCAAATAAAAAGGTCAACAACTGGATACAAAAAATGTAATAGGAAACAATTTAAATGAACATTGCAAACCTTTAAAGCACTTTAAGGTCTAACAAAGTATCACGTTTTTCACAGGCCATAAAAATGCCAATTTCAAGTGGATGTACTCTTTAAATGTGGGGGTAAGGGTCCCAGCTGTACTCTTACTTTAAAGGATAACAAATCATTTTCAGATAGTTTAAAATCTAAGTTACTACCAAGGTGCACTGATTGATCCCTTGTTTGCCCGGCCCCTATACTTAACAGAGAAGTAAAGCAATGGGTGCCACTTATTAGCCAAAAGTGTCAGCTGATGTTCTCAGCCCATCACTAGACTCACATTGCGAGTAGCAATATGAGGGAAGGACCAACAGTTTTCTAAAAGGGTCAGAAAACACTCCAGGATTATAAACAAATTCTGGAGTGTTCCTTTAGCCAGAAAGAATACATTCCGTTTAAACTTCTTTTCACGGATGTCCTGAAGTATCAACCTTGGAAAGTTGGAGATGGCAATGTTGGAAACCATTAGTTCTAAAAGTTATTAGAGATACAGCAGATACACTAACAAACTATCATGCTGGAATAATGTGCATTACGTAAGAAATAAAACAAAACTAAAAATAATAAATTACAGTACTTCAATGGGTGGCTTATAACTTTTGAATATGTTCTTGTTTTAAAGGGACACTATAGTCACCAGAACAACTACAGCTTATTGAATTTGTTCTGGTGAGTAGAATCATTACCTGCAGGCTTTTTGCTGTAAACACTGTCTTTTCAGAGAAAATGCAGTGTTTACATTACAGCCTAGTGATAACTTCACTGGTCGCTCCTCAGATGGCTGTTAGAGATCCTTCCTGGGTCATGGCTGCCTAAAATGCATCCAAACATTCAGTGTCTCCTCCCTCTGTATGCAGACACTGAACTTTCCTCATAGAGATACATTGATTCAATTTATCTCTATGAGGAGATGCTGATTGGCCAGGCCTGTGTTTGAATCATGCTGGCTCTGCCCCTGATCTGCCTCTTTGTTAGTCTATGGGGAAGCATTGTAATTGGATCAGGCTGCCACTTCTGATGATGTCAGCAGTCTGCTTGGGTTTTTTTTCAGGCAAACAGCATGGAAATCTACAGCTTGAATACAGTAAGATTTTGCTATATTTATGGAGGCATGAGGAGCCCAGGGGGGATATATGGTGGTTTTAACACTATAGGGTCAGGAATACATGTTTGTGTTCCTGACCCTATAGTGATCCTTTAACTGTCTAAGAAAGATTCTCCATTGAGTACAACACTAAAAGCAGAAAATTCTTATATAACTAAACTAGGTGGCATATTAGAGAGGCAAATAAGGGCTGGTATTGACATTTCCAAAATAGTCAACACTATTCTATATTTTATTCCAACTAGCAGATGGATGGAGAGATTAGTGGCACACTAGTAGCGCCTGTTGAATAAGAGGTGTCTCTTAAGGAGATCCTTACATTTTGACAAGTTATGGTTTTCATGCAAATTCATATAGACATTTTATTCCAATTTCTTGTATGGAATATTTTGCAGTGGGTTTGCAGAGTTATAATATAATGTCATTTTAAAAATGTTTCCTGGTAATTATTACCAATAGATTAAGAAAACAGGATGAAATACCAGTGTAATAAAATACAGCTAACACACTACTGCTTTAGAAGTCTTCCACAGAATATTAGCCATCAGTATCCCAGTAATCTGTAAATGGAATTTACTGTACATATTTATTAATACAGGATTAAATTAAGCTTTTTTGTTTACCTGCAAGTCACACTCCCCCCCTTGGTCACAAATAGGACAATCCAATGGATGGTTTGCCAACAAAAACTCCATTACGCCTTCCCTAGTAAACACAACAAATTGAAACATAACATGTTGTTAAAGTTATATAATTATACAGATGTTCCGGTGTAAAACAGACATCTCATTGGACCATCAAAATATGTATGCTCAAGTTCATATGGTGAAATCTTTTACGCAAAAAGCTTCCCAGTTAAGATTAGGTTGTTATTGTTCAAGAACCCCCACAAATTAAATAAGTTATATGATACACCAAGACTACAGGATAAAAGTTGAAGGGGCAACCAACTGGTCTGGTGCAATGTGCAGGCTAGCTTATATTTATACTAGCAGGGTTATTCACTAAAATAAGAATTCAGTAGAGATGCTTCTAGTTTGGTTACTTTGACCTTAAATGTGAAATTTAATTTGAATATTTGTTTTAGTGAATAATCCTGAAGGTGTTTTTTGTTTTGTTTTTTGTTGCTTTTTTAAATGAGCTTTAGGATTTGAATTTTTTTTTTTTCCCCTCCTCCTCTTTTATATTTATAATGGCTTTGCTCCATAAACCACCTTTTCTGTGCCTCCTTTCCAAACTGTTGTTTTTCCACTTCTGTTTCAAGTATACTGCTGCACATTAAATCTACAGGGGAAAGCTGACATATGAATTACAGCTAAGAAACACTCTTCCGGTGCCCATCAAGTACTCATTTAGCAGTGTTATAGAAAATCAAGTGACCCAAGTAATTTCCTGGTTTGGTATGATCACACTGCAGAAGCTGTAAAGTCTGGAAATTAGCAGCAACATCCACGGGTGAGTGTCCCTTTTATTGTTTTTAAGTTTATTATAAAGTATAGTTAAGTCCAGCATGAAGAACCTACTTTACCAGTTATAGCTTGGAATTCACTACTAAGACTGAGTTAAGACACGTGTGTGTGTGTGTATATATATATCTCTGCAGTTTTCCTCACAAATCTAAATAGAATGCTCGTTAGTCAGTACAAATATATAATAGAATCCAGCCCTTTGAATGGACAAACGTGCAGATGAGCAAGTCATTTTCAGGCAGCAGTACATTTATCATATGCATGGTGCTGTATAAGCATAATTTAGAAACAAGAAGTATGCCACTAAAATGTAAACCACAAAAAAGATGTAAACACCCGCACATTAGTCACCAACATAGGGTCTTATTTTTGAAAAACCCACTTACCTTGCTTTCTTGGTCTTTTCAGAGTTTGTCAGGATATTCCAGCCCTTCATTACAGGCATTGCACAAGCAGCTACAGGCTGAGAATATATAAAAACAACCCATAAGTGAAAATGTCATTACAAAATGATAACATATACAGCATATTTCTCCTCCCTTTAAGAGGTATTAACAAAAAAATTAAAATTGCAGATCTATTTTATTACTTCCGAAACTCTGAATTGTATATACATAAAATCTAGGTAGCATGTCTTGCAATGCACGATTATCCAATTTGAGGATGAAAAACAAAAATAAATTCTAGTTATCTGACATAGAACCCATTTGTTGAAAATATGATATAGTGTGTTCACCTCGAGTAGATTTCACACAACTGCCCTGCAATATACCGTATATACCAGAGTATAAGCCGAGTTTTTCGGCACATTTTTTGTGATGAAAAAACCCAACTCGGCTTATACTCGAGTTAATATCTGTATTATGGCAATTTACATTGCCATAATACAGACCAGGTCCTGTTGGGGGCTGACACTTACCTTCCTGCAGCTCCTGTCAGCTCCCCAGTCAGCTCCGTTCTGCTCACGAGACTTACACTGTAAAATGAACGGAGCTGACCGAGGAGCTGCACAGAGGAGGAGGGAGCTGCAGGAAGGTAAGTAACAGCTCGCTGTCAGCCCCCCCACTGAACTGCCAATGCCACTGGACCACCAGAGATTTAATATTATTATTTTATTTTAATAATAATAAAATAATATTATTAAAATAATATTATAATTGTAATTTTTTTTATATCTTTTTTTTGTCCCCCCCTCCCTGCTTGTTGCCTGGTCAGGGAGGGAGGGGGGACAAAAAAAACATTTTAAAAAAAATAATGCAAATATTAAAATAATGCAAATAATAATATAATAATAAAATAATTTTATTAAAATACTAATATTATTTTAATATTTGCATTATTTTTTTTTAAATGTTTTTTGTCCCCCCTCCCTGACCAGGCAACAAGCAGGGAGGGGGGGGACAAAAAAAAAAAAATGCAAATATTAAAAAATATTATTTTAATATAATATTAAAATTAAAAAATTCAAATAAAAATGCCCTCCCCTCATCCAGTTTGCACACACTGCACAAACACACACACACACACACTGCATTCATTCTATACACACACTGTAAATAAATATTCAATTAATGTAATTTTATTGGGATCTAATTTAATTTAGAAATTTACCAGTAGCTGCTGCATTTCCCACCCTAGGCTTATACTCGAGTCAATAAGTTTTCCCAGTTTTTTGTGGTAAAATTAGGGGCCTCTGCTTATATTCGGGTCGGCTTATACTCGAGTATATACGGTAAGTAAATTAATCAAAAACACTTCATAGAGTAATGAATTACATCTCAGTATACAGTTATGTAATGGACAACCCTGTGTTTGGCGGATGACAGAAACGGTCCATACCTACGTGCATAGTGTCAACTATAAAGCGGTCTTAATTTAATAGACTAAAATTTATCAAAAAAATTCTATAACTAAAGAATAATAAAGTTATGACTATCAAAAAAGATGCAAATAGGTGTGTTAGTTGGCAATTAATGCTTAATATAAATATTATGTTAGTATAAACATAGGCAGCTGAAAAACACTGTAGATACTCCTTTAACAGTTAGTGGTCAAAGGGATGTGCATCCCTTCTTAGACAGGTGTTGCATTTTGAATGCTATAGTGTCCCTATTCTAGCTCTAACTAAGTCTCCCCGACCTCTGGGTAAAAATACATTTTAAAATTAAAAAAAAAAAAAGAAGTTTACTTACCTTATTCCACCGCTAAAGCTAGGGTAACAATCCAGGAACATTAAGGGCCTAATGCGCACATATTGAAACTTTCCCATAGGAAAACACTGAATCAATGCTTTTCTATGGGGCTTTTGCAACATGACACAGTTGCTGTGAAAGCTCCTCTAGCGGCAGTGTGATGGCCAGTAGAGGAGGAGTTAACCCTGCAATTTAAACATTTCAGTTTCTCAAAAGTGGGCAATGACCCAGCCTTGTCCAAGTGAAAAAAATAAATAAAAATGCAGTTTTAGGCTAGACCTTCCCTTTAAAAGGGACACTCCAGTGCAAGGAAAACAAACAGTTTTCCTGGCACTGCAGGTCCCCTCTCCCTCCCACCCCCCATCCCAGGTTACTGAAGGGGTTTAAACCCCCTCAGTGACTTACCGGAGTCCAGCGCCGATGTCCCTCGGCGCTGGTCCAGGGTCCATCCAAGCTCCTCCCCCGCAACGCCATCCGTCGGGGGAGACCGATTGCACATGTGCAGCCACCGTCGGGGTGAGACCTGCCGCGCACGCGCATTAGTCCTCCCCATAGGAAAGCATTGAAAAATGCTTTCAATGCTTCCCTATGGAGATTTTAGAGACGCTGGAGGTCCTCACATAGCGTCCAGCAACGCTATAGCACAAATCTGTGCTAGAAACCCGGAAGTGCCCTGTAGTAGACAGCCACTAGAGGAGGAGTTAACCCTGCAATATTGAAAACTGCAATATTTACAGTTGCAGGGTTAAGGGTAGTGGGAGTTGGCACCCAGACCACTCCAATGGGCAGAAGTGGTCTGGGTGCCTGGAGTGTCCCTTTAATGTTATTGTGATGGAAGAGACAAAAATCCACTTGGCAACATTCCATAAATCTAGTGGAAACAATTTCAAGAAGAATGGAACTAGTTCCATACTAAATGAAAACTTTTTTTTTAAATCAGATTTACTCATTTTAAATTTTCTACACTACAGGACAAAAATAAAATAAAATTTTTTTTACAGAAACATTTCCTTAGCACCAGGGGGAAAGAAAAGCATGTCAGCAACATATTAATTAATGGAGCAACAGAGTAATCAACCCAAGCTTCCACCTGGTAAATAAAAGTGTCATGTTAAGCTTGGTTCAAATAATGACTAAACATAGAATGTGATGGCAGATAAGAACCATTCGGCCCATCTAGTCAGCCCAATTTTTTAAATACTTTCATTAGTCCCTGGCCTTATCTTATAGTTAGGATAGCCTTATGTATATCCCACGCATGCTTAAACTCCTTTACTGTGTTAACCTCTACCACTTCAGCTGGAAGGCTATTCCATGCATCCACTACCCTCTCAGTAAAGTAATACTTCCTGATATTTTTAAACCTTTGCCCCTCTAATTCAAGACTACGTCCTCTTGTTGTGGTCGGTTTTCTTCATTTAAATATAGTCTCCTCCTTTACTGTGTTGATTCCCTTTATGCATTTAAATGTTTCTATCATATCCCCCCTGTCTCGTCTTTCCTCCAAGCTATACATGTTAAGTTTCTTTTAACCTTTCCTTGTAAGCTTTATCCTGCAATCCATGAACCGGTTTATTAGCCCTTCTCTGAACCCTCTCTAAGGTATCAATATCCTTCTGGAGATACAGTCTGCAGTACTGCGTACAATGCTCCAAGTGAGGTCTCACCAGCGTTCTGTACAACGGCGTGAGCACTTCCCTCTTTCTACTGCTAATACCTCTCCCTATACAACCAAGCATTATGCTAGCATTTCCTGCTGCTCTATTACATTGTCTGCCTACCTTTAAAGGACCACTATAGGCACCCAGACCACTTCAGGTTAATGAAGTGGTCTGGGTGCCAGGTCCCTCTAGGATTAATCCATTTTTTTTTTTTTTTTTATAAACTGTTTCAGAGAAACTGCTATGTTTATAAATGGGTTAATCCAGCCTCTAAAGCCTCTAGTGGCTGTCTCATTGACAGCCGCTAGAGGCGTTTGTGTGCTTCTCACTGTGAAAATCACAGTGAGAAGATGCCGTCCATAGGAAAGCATTATGAATGCTTTCCTATGAGACCGGCTGAATGCGCGCATGCGCATTCAGCCGAAGAGGAGGATCGGAGGCGGAGAGGAGGAGGAGAGCTCCCCGCCCGGCGCTGGAAAAAAGGTAAGTTTAACCCCTTTCCTCTCCACAGAGCCCGGCAGGAGTGGGACCCTGAGGGTGTGGGCACTATAGAGGTCCTTTAAGTCATCAGAAATAATCACCCCTTAATCCCTTTCCTCAGATGATGGGGTTAGGACTCTATCAAATATTCTGAACTCTGTCCTTGGGTTTTTACGTCCAAGATGCATTATCTTGCACTTATCCACATTAAATGTCAGTTGCCACAACTCTGACCATTTTTCTAGTTTACCTAAAGCATTTGCCATTTGGCTTATCCCTCCTGGAAACATCAACCCTGTTACATATCTTAGTATCATCAGCAAAAAGACATACCTTACCATCAAGACCTACTGCAATATCACTAATAAAAATATTAAAGAGAATGGGTCCAAGTACAGATCCCTGAGGTACCCCACTGGTGACAAGCCCATGCTTCGAATATATTCCATTGACTACAATCCTATGTTCAACAATATTGGAATCCAAACTTAAAGATTGCAATTTATTAATAAGCCTTCTACGTGCAACAGTGTCAAAAGCCTTACTGAAATCTAGGTAAGCAATGTCTACTGCACCACCCAGATCTATTATTTTAGTTACCCAATCAAAAAAATTAAATAGGATTAGTTTGGCATGATCTCCCTGATAAACCCATGTTGTCTCTGATCTTGAAATTCATGTGTTTTTAGATGTTCAACAATCCTATTCTTTAACATGGTTTCCATTACTTTCCCCACTAATGAAGTAAGGCTTACTGACCTATAGTTGCCCAACTCCTCCCTACTACCTTTCTTGTAAATTGGCACAACATTCGCCAACTTCCAGTCTTCTGCGACTACTCCTGTTAACAATGATCGGTTAAATAAATCTGTTAATGGTTTTGCTAGTACACCACTAAGCTCTTTTAATAACTTTGGGTGTATTCCATCAGGTCCCATTGACTTATTTGTCTTTACTTTTGACAGTTGAACAACCGTGCTACAGAATTTTGTTATTGCTCAGCATGGGAATGTAGCATGCTTGTCAGATTGACAAGAACAGATTATTTGATATAATCCAAAACTAGTGATCCTTTCAGCACGCACCTTGCTTCTTCTGTGTTTAGATGAAAGCAAAGGTGGAATGGTGCAGCACTGAGAAGAAACAGGGTCTCTTTTGTCATTTAAAGTTTATTGATAAATATCCATAAACAGGACAACCATAAGATCATCTGCATAATACAGCAATATGTCAAGTCAATCATGGGCATTTCAAATCAATAAGATATCCAATAAGCATCTTAGACATTGATAGGTCAGCAACACATGAGCCTACAGAGAACACGGAGACTGGAGATAAGGAGAGCAATAAATGTAACGTAATGGTTTTATGACAAAGGAATATTTATGTGAGAATAAAACAAAGCAGACTCAAAATTATTGGTATCTTAAAAAGGTCATTTAGTTATTTTGTTTTTATTTTCTTTTTAAGTTCAATAGTTCATTCATAAAACAACTCCACAAAGAGACAGAATACCGACCTTTGGAGCTTTCTCAATTTCCACAAGACACATGCGGCAGTTTCCGGCAACTGACAAGCGGTCATGGTAGCAGAAGCGAGGAATCTGCACACCTACTTTCTCACAGGCCTAGAAAAATAGTAGGAGTACCATTATTCACAAAGAACATACATAAATAACTTTAACTGCACACATGGCAATAAAAAAGAAACATGATATAGTGAACATTGATCTATACAATGTTGGAATAGCCAGCTGTACTCCGATAATCAAACAGTGGATTGGGGTTGCAACCAGTGCTTCCTCTAGGGTAAGTCAATAGAAAAAAAACAAAAAACAAAAAAACAAAACCACAGTATATAGAACAGCATTAGAAACAGATAAAGAGAAAGAAAAATATCCAGCAATATACAATGGCCCCTGCAATTCACCCCTACACATTGCGCCTTAGGGATCATATCAATGGATACCATGATCGAATACAATTTATCAAAAGGCAAAGGAGGTAAACCCAACAGTTGAGGACTACGTTTCTCATAACGGCCATTGGTTGGCTGAGCAACCCTAGAAACAGTCCATAACAGCCAATTGCCTGATATCACACATTTGTATTATAAAAAACTATATGCTACAAATTACAACATTGTAGTTGTTCTGCATAAAAATGTACCCAGAACTTCCCAGTGGTGGCTGTAACTCAACATTTGGTCAAACTCAAATATGGAATAATAGAAGCTTTAATTCTACAATTAATGGAGTGTAATAAATTGACTAGCCCTGATGTAACCTGTGTCTGTTTAGAAAAATAGCTGTCACTTCCTCGTAGTTTTAGGTTTTGCTAAAATTATTTCAAAATTCTCTACAGTTTATTTTCATTAAAATACTTTGCCAAGCATATGACAAACCTTGGTCATCTTTTTTTTAAAAGGGACACTATAGTCACCCAGACCACTTCAGCTCAATGATGTTGTCTGGGTGCAAGGTCCCCCAAGTTTTAACCATTCAGATGTAAACATAGCAGTTTCAGAGAAACTGCTATGTTTACATTGCAGAGTTAATCCAGCCTCTAGTGGCTTTCTTCCTGACAGCCGTTAGAGGCGCTTCTGCAACGCTGTATGCGAAAATCGCATTTAGCTGGAAAAACGTCCATAGGAAAGAATTGAAAAATGCTTTCCTATGGACTGTTTGAATGCGCACGCGGCTCTTGCTGTGCATGCGCATTCCGCTCCACTCGGGAGCTGACGTCGGCAGGGGAGGAGAGGTCACCAGCGCCGAGGGAGCCCGGCGCTGGATAAAGGTAAGTGGCTGAAGGGTATTTAACCCCTTCAGCCCAGCGGGAGGGGGACCTAAGAGTTATATAGTGTCAGGATAACAAGTTTGTTTTTCTGACACTATAGTGATCCTTTAAAACATTTTCATTACCTGTAGCACTGTGGTGCCTGGTTCCACCAGCACTGGTTTGTTATCCACAAACACTTCAACCAAGTTACTTGCAGCTGTTGATGTTGTTCGTACTAAAAAAAACAACAAAAAAAAACACATAATTGCATTAGAATTGTAATGAGAGCTATAAAAAAAATCTCAGGTGTTTATTCAAAGCTTAAGCACATATCTCAAAAGATTTATAATTCTTACGCAGTTTGTTAAAGGACCACTATAGGCACCCAGACCACTTCAGAGAAACTGCTATGTTTATAATAGGGTTAATCCAGCCTCTATTGGCTGTCTCATTTTCACAGTGAGAAGACACCAGCATCCATAGGAAAGCATTGTGAATTCTTTCCTATGGACTGGCTGAATGCGAGCGCGGCTCCTGCCCCGCTTGCGCATTCAGCCGAGGAGGAGGAGGAGGAGGAGGAGAGACAGAGACATATTCACTAAGCGCTGACACTACATATACTGCATTTTATCTATGAAAATTTGGGAAGTTCTATTTTGTGGCTGCTGGTTAAATTACATGTCAAATACCATATAATTCTGCAAATTAGCGATGTAATTGTTTATTTAAGGATATTGGTTTATTTAGATTTTATTGATACTATATAACCTTTTGCGCTCTCTTCTTCATAATTGACTTTGTTTAGCCAGCTCCCTGCATGTGACCTAACCTGTTCCTGTAAAGAGAGATCTAATGTTTAAACTTCCTTTATTGCACATGTGGTTTAATTTAAAATTTCTTATCCCCTGTCCTGTTAATAACCTGCTAGAGCCTGTAAGATCATCCTGTGTGTGATTAAAGTGCAATTAGCAGAGCAAGAACAAAAACACTTCTAAAGTAAACACACTACACTGTTAAAAAAAAAAAAAATTAAACAATTTTTTTTCCATGCAAGCTGTATGAGTCATTGATAATGAAACATTTTTTTATGGAGGCTGTGAGATTTACAGCTAGGGGAGGTGTGGCTAGGGCTTCAGAAATAAAAACAAAAGTGATTTAACTCCTGAATGGCAAACAATTGAGCAGTGACCCTGCAGGTGCATCATCTATATACTAAAACTGCTTCATTAAGCTAAAGTTGTTTTGGCAAATAAACTTGGATAATAGTAGTATACACTTACCATTATTTTTTGAAGCCTGGGCTACATTCGTTATAACCCTGCAGGCAGCAGGTAGTCGCAGCATGGTGCTAGAAAAAAAAATGTTACACAAACACATTAAACATGAAATAAATAAATAAATAAAATAAGTTTGTCTCACAAAAAAAAAAAAAAAAAAAAAATATATATATATATATATATATATATATATATATATATATATATATATATATAAAATATATATATTTGTTTTTAATCCTTAAAGGGATACTGTAATGCCAGGAATACAAACCTGTATTCCTGTCACTACCGATACCTCTGCCTCTCTTGCGCCCCCTCCTACCCGGTATATAAAAGGGTTAAAACCCCTTTATTTACTTACCTTAACCCAGCACCGATGTCCCTCGGCACTGGGTCAAAGCTCCGACCCCTCCTCTGTCACGCGACAAGCAGGGTCTAATGCGCATGTGCGGCAAATGCCACACGCGCATTAGACCTCCCCATAATAAAGTATTGAATTGATGCTTTCCTATGGCAAAAATCTGACACTGGACATTGCAGCACTAGGTTCAAAAGCGACACAGCACCCAAACCACTTCAATCAGCTGAAGTGGCCTGGATGCCTACAGTGTCCCTCTAATCAAACACGATATGTAAAAGTGATCACAATATGAACTTACTAACTTCAAATATACTTTATATATATATATACACACACACACACACACATATAGTAAAGCACTGCGGAATAAGTATTTTGGCATTTATTATGTAAATGCCAAAAGTATAAATAATAAAATAACAACACACGCACACACACACACACACACACACACAAATAAATATTGATGAGTATTTTAAATAGGTATACGTGGAAATAAAAATAAATATTAAAAAAAAAAAAAAAATTATGTAAAAGCATTTTAAATTGTGTAAAGAGTTAATCAGTTATCCAGATTTTTAATTGTTGATGCCCATTTTCAGAGGATACAAAAAGTAAACATGAGGATGTCACTATCCTGTATTCCCTTAAACACCATTTCAATGCAGTTACTTTTAATGAAAACAATAATTTAGATGTATGAACCAGCAACTATGGAGATTGTATCCTTGAGTCGTGTAACTGTATAATGAATAGTCAGCTCCTGTCTGTGATAATAGAGAAAGGATAGAACAGTACCCAGTAGGACCTGTCAAGGGCATGAGAGTGACCCAGCAACACATAGCAAGAGTTACCAGCCGCGGCCCTCATTGAAGAGCATAGATATAGATATACATACATTAACAGTCTGCAGATAACACCCCGAGTTCTCCCCACTTACTCTGCTGGCTGCCTCTCGGGGCACTACGGCTACTCGGCCTTCTAAACCACAGCAGCGTTGGCTGGCCAGTAGGATAATATGGCGGACTCGGCAATTTCCGGAGAAGGTGACGGAACGAACTCGGGAGTTTACGAGCCACTAGAAGCGATACCTCGGTTATTTCCGAAACCATTGACGGCGAACGCTCGTGACGTATAAAAGTCGCGCACTGTCATCCTTTAAGAAACCTGTAAACAAAAGTTAACGCCATGTTTTTTATGGGCAAATTTTATTATTTGCCATTTTAATAGCTGAAGTTAAATTTTAATAAGCAGCAATGAAACAATGGTCCATGTGAATAAAGAGGAATTCGCTGCTACATGTAGAGCTATCATCATAAACCTCCCATTAGTTCCCATGTTCAGCAGCATGTGCTTTTTTATATAGTGCCCATGGTTTTTGTATGTGTTCTCATAATTAACACACATTTACAGATGTCAGCAACTTTCATTTGCAATGTAGTACTACATACTGCCTAAGATTTAATATCGACAAAGAGAACACCTAAAATTAGGTGACTTACTAATAACAATTTATACAACAAACGTAATTTTTAACTAGAACCGTGCATGTTATTTACACAGTCTTATTTCTAAACACATTTATTTTAATATTAAGACACATTATTGTGAGTATTATTGCTTTGGAGCTCTGTTATACAATCAGACACACTAACTCTATGGAGCTTTTAGAATTACAGTAGAATAAAGAGACAGAGGGATTTGTGACCACCCCCGGGTTAGCCCCCCCATATTGAGAATTTTAACAAAAGATTATTCCATTTGTTAGATCTTTGTTAGATCAGGTTTGATCAACAATTTTTTTTTGTTAGATCTACTCTAAAATATGCGATATTAACAATCATTGTCAGGGGGGGCTATGGGGGCTAACCCGGGGGTGGTGGATTTGTGTCCAAAATAGGAAGGTATGATCTAGTTTCTATAGGTAACGTGCTGAGGAAATGATTTTCATGGCAAGAAAGTAAGATTTGCACATTCACCATGCTTTTCAGGCATAAACCTAGTTTTCCAAAAGAGAGAGCAGAACCACAGACTGTGCAACTTGGGCTATCCAAGTCCTCCCAGGAAGAGACCCTGGTTCAGACATAAGTGGCACAAGACCCTGTGAACTAGAATATGAGTACTTTCAGTTTACAGAGCAGTTCTACTCATCCTATGCCTAGGGACTTTATATTTCCTGTTCTGTATTATATTTTAATGTGTTAAAGGAACACTCCACTGCCCAAATACAAATCACTTTTTATTATATATACCCTAAATGACAATGTGCATGCATTTAATTATTCATTTTTTTCATAGGGATTATGACTAAAAACCTCTGACAAAACCTGCATTTTTCTTGTCTGCAGCCCTTGCAAGTCCTTCCCTTCCAACACTGCCCATACTTTAGATGGCTGTCCAATCACAGACTTCCCAATACAGTGTAATGAGAAGTCTTTACAAGGCAGATGATTTGGGCAATTTCTGCCTTTTGAGTTTAGCTCCACTTGAACGAAGCAAACCAGAAAGTAACTGGACCTGTTGTTTGCTTGAGAGCCTGGGGGGTGTAACTAGGTTAATGTATAAAAGTGTCAATATCTATTTAAATCTGCACTTTTGCAAAATGAAAAAAAGAGAACACATTCTTCACACATAAACATTTCCAGCAGGCTAAAGTGCTTTAGAGGTCAAGAGTGTCACTTGAACTTTGTAATGCATTAATAAATTATGGTTGTTTATCCCTGTTTTAGATGCTGTGGTGTTTTGGAACTCTATAACATAGGATTTGCAGTGGGTGAAACTCTGTACCATGTTATAGGCTTTGCAGTGTTTGGAATTCTGTAACATAGGATCTGCAACGGTTTGTCCTCTATACCATGTAATATAATTTGCAGTGTTTAGAATTGTATACTAAGAAAAAAAAAAAGCTGAACTACTGGATTTTCTCAATACAGAAGAAAGATGACACTCCAAAGTCCAGAATAAATTACCTTTATTCTAATTCAAAGGACATGTGGCTAAGTCATACAGGAGGGGAGCAAAAGGACCACCAATGATGCGTTTCAAGCCTATTAGATTTGGAACTCTATATCATAGGATCTGATGTGGGTGGATCTCTGTACCATATTATAGGGTAGGCTCTGCAGTGTTTGAAATTCTGTAACATATATTCTGCAATGGTTGAACTTAGTGAGTCCATAACATGTAATAGGATTTGCAGTGTTTGGAACTCCATATAATATAGGATCTGCAATGGTTGGAACTCTATATAATTTGGGATCTGCAATGGTTCAAACGCTATATAATATAGGATATGCAATGGTTGGAACTCTAAACCATGTAATATTGTTTGAAGTGTTTTGAACTCTATATAATTTGGGATCTGCAATGGTTGGAACTCTAAACCATGTAATATTGTTTGAAGTGTTTGTAACTGTATAATTTTGGATCTGCAATGGTTGGAACACTATATAATTTGGTATCTGCAATGGTTGGAACTCTAAACCATGTAATATTGTTTTAAGTGTTTGGAACTCTATATAACTCGGGATGTGCAATGGTTGGAACTCTATACCATGTATCATGGTTTGTGGTGTTTAGAACTCTTTAATACATAAAGAGCAGCGGTTAGAACTCTGTACCCTACGATAGGCATTGCAGAGTTCTACCCCGCCCCTCGTGACGTTGCAGCGTTCCACCCCGCCCCTCGTGACGTTGCAGCGTTCTATCCCGCCCCCGTGACGTGGCCACGTTGCATTATAAAAGTGCAGGCCGCGGCTACACCCTCTCTCTTTCCGCCGCTCCTCCAGCTTAGCTTTGTCGTCCTCTTGCAGCAGCTGTCATGGGTTTCGGTGATCTCAAATCGAACGCTGGCCTTCAGGTCCTCAATGAGTTCCTGGCCGATAAAAGCTACATCGAGGGGTCAGTGGACAAAGTAAATGGCTCTTCTTATTGTGGGGCTGGAGGGGTAGGTGTGGGCTGCAAGGTATGTCCTGTGTGTTCTCTGGCCACATGTAGTGTTAAACAAATCTCTGTATCTTTATATTCCCTCCTGTATCTGCACGGGGACTTGGGGTCATTTCCATGAATCTCCCTCCAGCTGTGCGGTGTCCGTCTAACAGTGCAATGGCCATTATAACTAACTATAGATATCATTCTCCCATAATAACGTGCTGGATGCCAGGCCCCCTCTATATAAACACCATGACTTACAATGTGCGCTTCTAATGTCCTGCCAGTCATGCCCATCACTGCTTCCGCGTCTCGGCTGAATGAGCATGGGACACGTGGCTTGAGGCCTGTTGGAAAGGCTCTGTCTCTGGTAGAATTCTTCAGAACAAGAAAAGCCTGTTTAACCTGACTAGAATATCGAATATTTCAGTTTGGAAGCTTTGTTCTATGGGCCGTCATAAACCCTACACATGTTTGGACTTATTCTTTCTTTGTATGATAAATGCAAGCAGTGAGTTAGTTCCCAGTGGTTTTTATGTCCGTCTTATGTTAAAGTATACTTTTATTACACTGCTCTTATTGACACGGTATTACATTCCCAACTCTAGGGATTCAGTTCAACATTAAAGCTTTGTGGCATGAATAGTGCTCCCACCAGTCATAAAATTGCTAGGCTCGATTGGATCTACTAGAGCTGAGAACAATTTAAAATGTGGAGCTAAGACTTACAAATATTCAATGTCAGCTGTAAAGTTTGGAAGCCTTTGTTGCCTTTTTAAAAATTGTATGAGGCACAGCTAAAATTGTAAGGGTCAATGCATATTCACATATTGCATGTTCTTATAGGCCTTTGTTTGAATGTACACTTTTTTTTTCACATTAGGTATGTACCCTCCCAGGCTGACGTTGCAGTATTCGAGGCATTGTCTGGTGCTCCCCCTGCTGACCTCTTCCATGCCTTGAGATGGTACAATCATATCAAATCATATGAGAAGCAAGCATCCAGGTAAGAGAAGTAAAATGTTAGACATGTAGCGGTTATGAAGCTTGCACTTGGCTCTTGATCTATTCACCATCTAGGTGTCTGTCCCCATCCACATTGAGCTGGTATCTCAGCAGCTGCCCACCACCATGGTAAAATCAGTCAATCTTGATGATCCCAGCCAGTTGTTTCCTTAGAGAAGCATTAAGGGGTTATTTCGCTTCTAAAAATAACCATGCTGTAGCAATCCTATTCTCTCTGAGAAACACTGACTTAAAGTGTCTCTTCAGTGGATGCTCTTCCAGACTGCCACTATAAGTGCATTTTTAATCCTGCAGCAAAAAACTGCCATTCTCAAAAAAATTTTTACATTGCAGTGACACCAGGCAATTTCTTTGTTATGAAGTGATCTGGGTACCTCTGGCATCTATTTAAGTCAACAGACTTTACAGTCCTCTTATTTATGCCAATCTGCTTTGGCATCAGTATTTTTAGCATTATAAATTAAACCTTTCCTGTGTGACTGCTTCTTAGAATAGTCAAAACTATGGAACTGTAGCATTGAGTGCAATGTAACTGCATATTTAAATGCAAAGCTTACCTGTCAATTTTCTGACTAGCCTTCCTGGAGTGAAGAAACCACTGGGAAAATATGGCCCAGTGAACATTGAAGACACAACAGACAGCACTGCTAAAGAAACTAAAGAGGACGATGATGATGACATTGACCTGTTTGGCTCAGATGATGAAGAGGTGAGCTTTTCTAGCAATTGTTTAGAATCTGAATATACTTTAATATGAACTTGGTATATTCTGCAAAACTGGTTTGGGATGTTAAGCTCACTACAACCCCTCAGGCTCTGAATCTGTACTCTAGCCCTACCTGACTCTAACCATTCAGTTTTTTTTTTTTTTTTGCTATAGTCATTGGGAAATCTGTGCCACCTGTGTAAAATTTCTAGATATTCAGCAGTGGGATATTGTAAAACTGACTAATCTCATAGTTGCGCAGCACCAGACTAAGTCTTCTAGTATGGAGGCTAGTCTAAACTGCAGTCTGTAGCTTTTTATTTTATAGCAAAAACTTCTTTAAGTTGTGTGGTTGACACACTAGTCTCGCAAGTACTTGATATCTCATTGAATATTATAAGATAAAAGAACCAAGGGCATTCTTGCCTTATAAATGTTAAGCTGGTGTCAAAGAATCAGTTAAGGTTTCCACTTGAGAGTAAATTTTGACTGGTCATATGATGATTGAACTAAAATCACCATCTTTCGGCTGATTTGTGATGTAAATGTTCTTGTCTGACTGCACCAGTCTATTTCTAATCTGGTTGTATAAGAATTTCCATTGCTTACACTAAAGCATGTAATATTCTTGCAGGAAAGTGAAGAAGCAAAAAGAGTAAGAGAAGAGCGTCTTGCACAATATGAATCAAAGAAGTCTAAAAGTAAGTACATTGTCTTAAACAATTTGGCATCAATGAATGCTAGATAAATGTCTAGCTCCATAGTATGAGCAGTTGGTGTGCCACCTGTCTCCGGCTAGTTAAAAGCCTTGGTGTTCTGGCCTTTTATTAAACATCTCGCTAAAGCTGGACGTGCTTTAAGAATTTTTCAAAAGCTTTTGTATTGATAGCTTTACAACTGTGTAACGATCACTCAAGTGGTTCATACAAACATTTTCTTAGTGTGGAGTTTTAGTTGGCTTTAATACCATAGGATTAGATCATACAAGATTCATTCTGTACTGAAACAACTTAAACCTTTATCAAGAGTGCCCAAAAGGTAGATCCCCAGATGTTGGACTACAACTTCCATGATGCTTTGCCTGCCTTTAGAATGGCAAAGCCTCATGGAAGCTCTAGTCTTAAAACATCAGGGGATCTTTTTGGACACCCTTGCTTTATGTCTTAGCCATTAACCACAGATACTGGTCTGGAATTGTTTTTTCCTTGTAGCAGTTCCAGCATTCCTCCTGTGGAATACAACTTTGTTACACAGCTTTATTTCCTATCAGATTGTCTGATAGGGTTGTCTGTGTCTCATACACAAGTATATAAACACCTGCATGGGTGATTTCAGTAAAGCCTGCACTTTATTTATTAACACAGCCTGCATAAGTAGTATTTAATATATAGTACTTAAGCACCATATTACAGTTGCACAATAACATTTTAAAGTGTATCTTTTTAATCTAGGCACCTGTCTGCATTTGACTTGCTCAAGATGTCTGTGCAAAATCTGTATGGGATAACATTCCTTACCCTAATGTAAAAAGGATATCTACTGTAGCTAAAGGTGCTATGCCTTTAATAGTATTGGCTGCAACATTTTACTATTGTTTCCTGACAAAGAATTGTGTGAAATAGCAAGTTGGTCTAGCTAACTGTATGTTAAGGTGTAAAGTCCTAAAAGGCAAAACTTTGTAGTCTGTAGAGAAATCAGTGTTGCTGTGTAAATGGGTTCACAGTTCATTAAATAAAGCGATCTTAACCTTATTTCTAGAACCAACACTTATTGCCAAATCATCCCTTCTACTTGATGTGAAACCATGGGATGACGAAACAGACATGGCAAAACTAGAAGAGTGTGTCCGCAGTATTCAGATGGACGGCTTGGTGTGGGGAGCATGTAAGTTAATGAATTCATGTATCTACTTTATTTTAAGACTGTTTAGCTGGTCCATGAAGGGCTGCACTCATAGGTCTCTGCTCTCCTGTGGTTCTAGTGATGATTGAATAACACCATCTTTCGACTGATTACTGATGGATCTTTTTCTATTCTGACTACCACTGAAGTGAGCATTGAACTACTAGATTGGTCGAATATTGAAGTCCATTAGAATACTCTTAAAGTTAAATTTTCAGTTGTGAAGACAGTCTGGCTATTGACCAGAGTTCTGTAATTCAGCCAGCAAACAATACCTGATTTTTGCATTTTTAGATTGGTGGCTTTAATGGCTGTATATTAACAAATACTGTTTTGTAGGTTGCATTCCTAAAATTCTGAGTTTTGCAGCCTAGTTATAAGTAACTTGCTGTTGCAAGCCATATAATCTGGCAACCTTTTATTAATTACAATGTAAAAACTATTGTAAAGCATATAAACTAATCCAGTAACTAAAGCAAACATGTGTATTCCTTACTTATGTCTTCCTAAATCTGTTTGCAGCCAAACTTGTTCCTGTCGGCTATGGTATTAAAAAGCTGCAGGTCACATGTGTGGTGGAAGATGATAAAGTGGGCACAGATCTTCTGGAGGAGAAAATCACAGCATTTGAAGACTATGTACAATCAATGGATGTTGCAGCTTTCAACAAAATATAAAGCCAGTTCACTGCACTTAACCCTTAGCACTTCAATAATAAAACACTTGCCTGCATTTTTGTCATGGTTATTCTTTGAGAATTCATCACTGCTAGAATTGTCATTTGCTAGTGTACAGAAATAGAACCATGAAAGACTGGAACACTTTGGTTTTCTCCAAAAGCTGTTACATATTTGAATTGCCTAGAATAAAATGTAGGTAGCTTCTACAATTACTGCAGATGTCTCACCTTGTGAGCACTTTTTTTTTTTATCCACTCTTTACACAAACTCAATGGCTTTAAAACAAGTAACCCTGGGATAAAAGCAAATTTAGTCTGTGAGAAGAGACCATTTCTAGAAGTTACATTTTATTTTTATAAAAGCATGGTACAAAAGGCTAAAAATATTTACACTGTTGCAATTGACTAAATGGGTATTAAGTGGAGTTGGTGCACACATAGCATGCTATTTGGAGTCCTCCTATAACAGGGTTGCCCAAAAGTAAATAGCACAGATGAAGAGCTAAAGATCTCATGATGCTAGACTATAGAAGTTGTAGTCCTAAAACATCTGGGGAGCTACCTTTTTGGGCCCCCTCTCTCCTAGCACATACTCTGTTCTTACTTGGGTTCTGCAGGTCATCCATGTCGGGTCTGTGTAAGTAAAAACGGACATGAGCAGTTGAAAAGTGTGTATAGATTAAGGGGCCTATAGCAAATAAGTGTAACTAACCAGCTTGGTTATTCCTAGATCTAGAATTAGTTTAGTCAATTGCCTACAATTAAAGGACCACTATAGGCACCCAGACCACTTCCGCTTAATGAAGTGGTCTGGGGGCGAGGTCCAACTAGGTTTAACTTTTTAATAAACATAGCGGTTTCAGAGACTGCTGTTTATGTGAGGGTTAATCCAGCCAGCGGCTCTCTTGACAGCCGCAAGAAGTGCTTGCGTGCTTCTCACTGTGAAAATCATTGCATGCTTTCCTATGGACTGGCTGAATGCACGCGAAGCTCCTGCCACGCATGCGCTTTCAGCCAAAGAGGAGAGCTCCCCGTCTGGCACTGGAGAGGTAATTTTAACCCCTTCCACTCCATCCAGGCAGGTGGGGGCACGCTCAGGGCACTATAGTGCCAGGAAAAAGTGTTTCTGCAGCATGGCTATCACTTATGAGCTGCTCAAGTCATGTTCCAGGAGTGCTACTAAGTGCAAAATATTTGCAGTGTTTTTGTCTTAAATCACTGTACATAGACGCCCACCACCCATGGTAATTTTAAAAAAAAATTGTAATTGTGGTAGCTGTAATAGCACTTTTAAGCTACAACACATACAAGTGGACAGTCTACATGTAAACTACAAGAGTTCAGCTGATGTCCTATTGTTGGGTATTTTTCCTGTATCTAATGGTTAAAGTGCTTTATTGTTGCATAGTTTGTAAAATTGATCTGTGTGATTGGTCTTAGATACATAGGCAGCAATACTTTACTGCTTGTGTGTAAAAAAAAAAAAAAAAAAAACTTGTTTTGATGAACAGAAGAAATCTTTTGTACCAGTTAATTGTGCAGAAGTGTCTTGAAATGGAGCTCATCTGCAAAACTGTTTGAACTATAAGTGTAGGTTAATCCCTGGAGGACTTTATTAACAGAACTTCATGAAAAGCGATGCACGTCCTGGTTAGTCTTCATTTTCAATCTCTGGATGTCTTGTGTAAAGCCAGGTTCTATTTCATTATCCACTTAGGTGTCAGTTTGAGTAATTGTAGCAAAATATAAGCCATGTATCTGCTATGAGATATAGAAATGTAAGGTGCCCATTGGATGTAGAACACTTTGGTACTTGACTGCTCATTACAAACCACTAGCAAGTACATCTGCATGGCTCTTCCATTTTATTTTGGGAACTTAAAGCATGACCATAAGATTTGGAATGCTGTTCTATAACCTGCAGTAACATGCAGTATTACTAAAGATATATTAAAAGTTCTGTCATAAACACATTTTGATATTTGTAGACATAAAAGTATATTCCACCACCTTTAGCCTGGATTTACGCTTTAATCTGTTCAAGATTCATTATCTCACAGGTCGTTGGATTGTTCTCAGAATCTATCAACTGATCACTCTTGATAGCAGTCTGGCTCATATCTTTGAGGGTGTGTTTAAATATCTCTGCCATTGATGTTCCTAACTGTTTTCTGAATACTTTGCTTATCAGAACATAAAGAATTGGGTTAATGCAGCTGTTGATGAAGGCCAAGCTAGTAGAAATGGGCATGCCAAATTTAAGCCACTCTTGATAGACACCACTGTGATGGACTTTAAGTTCCAGCAAACAGAATATGTGAAATGGAGTCCAGCATGCAAAAAATGCTACAATAATAGCTAGAACTGTCCAGAAGAATGTATTGGGAGGTCGTGTGTTGTTCTTTTTCATTTTGATAGCCAGTAAACAGTAGCAAATTATCATGGTTAGAAGCGGAAAGAGGTATCCAATGAAGAACCTTATTAAGGTAAAAACTTTATGGGTTCTTAGAATGACTGTATGGTCGTGTTCATGAAAGTTGTTGAAGCAGATGGTGTATTTATGGCTTGAGTCAATTGTATCTCTGAAATATAATGCAGGACCAGCAATAATGGCAGCCAATGTCCAGATAATTCCACTTACGATCATGGATTTTCTCAGTGTTCGATGTCTTTGCGAGAAGCCAGGACAAGCAAAGGATGTAAATCTGTCTAGACCAATCACCGTAAGGAAGAATACACTAGCAAACATGTTGAGTACCGCAATGAAAGAGTTTACCTTGCACAGGGCTTTCCCGAAAGGCCAGTGGAAGTTTGTGGCGACATATGTGATATGTAAGGGCAGGAAGAGGACAAAGATTAAATCCGCAATTGCCAGGTTGAGAAACCAGAGGGTGCTGACGGTCTTATCCCATTTGAAGCCGGTAAACCAAATTACAATAGCATTACCAGGCACGCCTAATAAAAATGCTATAGAGTAAATTACAATAGATGCTATATGGAAGGCATGAAGACCTACATTGTCAGTTTGGGTCTCTGGAAATTCATAATAGTAATCAAAGGTATAGTTGTCAAATTCATATAAAGAAGGGTACAAAACCAGATCGTCTTCATCCATTTAAGCTGGGATTGGTTACCTGAGTAGAGAACACAGGACATGTTAAAATAACTATTTAAAGAGCTTCCTATCAATTTAAAAGGACCTACCTTAATGCATTCTCCCCTTTTTAACTGCACTTTGTAGATCAAGAGTGCCCATAAGGTAGATCACCAGATGTTTTAAAACTACAACTTCCATGATGCCTTGTTATTCTAGAGGCATGTAAACATGTAAAACATCATGGGAGTTGTAGTTCTACATCTGGGGATCCCCCATTCTGGGCACCCCTGTTGTAGATAATTAAATGCTGTTACTAGGTTGTGGTAAATGGTTTGTTTTTAACCCCTTAAGGACCAAACTTCTGGAATAAAATGGAATCATGACATGTCGCACATGTCATATGTCCTTAAGGGGCTAAAGGGGGATTCTCAGTACCAAAGGTATATAACTCATAATAAGGTTATGGTGCTATAAATCTATAGAGGGTGCCTTAATATTAAAAGAACTATAACTCATACATTAAAGGAACAATCTTATTGGATATAGCACCAGGAGAGACCTGGCATTCGCCCCCCGCCCTCCACATTTATGAACGTTTTGACTTCTTTCCTTAGTCTTGTTGGGCAACGCTCCCCACCTCCATTACTGGAGAGACAGAAAATTCCTAAATAGTAACAGCTGTTTACTCTCCTAAGCTACAGCTGATCATTCAAAAACTGACTGCTTACAATATGACACTCCTGGCACCATAGCCACTACAATGAGCTGAAGCGGTTATGATGCTTGGAATATTCAATTAATGACAGCCCATACAAATTTTAGTAGACTGGTGGAACTTGTAACTAGAAACAAAATTCTATACTGGGGTTCTGAAGATATTCGCAATGTCTCTTTAGCCCGGCATTGCAATTATTTCATATAATACGTGGCTCACTCTTATGTATCTCTATAATCATAGAAGCTTCAAAAACATTAGCCCATACCAGTAATGCTAAGAATGGAAATGTGTATACTATGTATCACCAGCAGTCCCAGTAGAGGGCACTCACTGCTCTTACACAATCCTTATAAACCTTATTTATAACTAATCCGCAACAAATGTTTAAGATGATTACAATGTTTAATTGGGACTACTTATAATAACACAAGCACTGAAGTACTTATGTTTTTATTTTTTTCCAAATCCACATCAAGTATTTTGAAATAACGAACAAATTAATGAATATGCACAAAAACACCGACAGAAAGGAACCAATCTTGATTGCATTGTAGAGCAAAGTAGCGCTATGCATGATCGCGTCCAATGTCAGAGAGAATAAGCTGAGCACTCAGCAATTGCAAAACAGAAAGGATAGACAAAGAGTGCTATCACACAAAAAAGGGGTTCTGGCCATCAAAGGACAAGACAACATTGTAAATGCAAATGGCTAGTAAAGAAATAAAACAACTTTTATGAATAATTTATATAAATCGTTGTTTTAAATAGATCTCAAGTGTCAAAATAGGACAATCTTGTTCATATAATGAAAAAAAACAACAACAAAAAACAGATCTACTGATCAAAAATCATTATCAGCCAAAAGAGAAAACAAATTCACAAAAACATCAAAGAAAGAGGGTTGTGTAAGGCACCTACTTCCTTGTATCCCTGTAGGGTGGAAACAGAATTCATAATTAAAGGAGAAATGTTTCTATAAAGGTAGCAATATTTCTATAAAGAGTTCTATAAAAGTAGCAATAAGGAAATCTGCCATTAGGTGGCGTACAGTTTCAGAGAAAAAGGTTTAAAGTCAAGGGAGAGGGTAGAGAATGTTCCTTTTCACATGCTATGTTTAAAAGAGGCTAGGCTGACCCTACGTATTTGCTGGCTATTTGTACCTTCTAGACCAGGCTTCCCCAAACTCCGGCCCTCCAGATGTTGCTGAACTACAACTCCCATGATTCAATGAATGAAACAGATAGGCTAAGAATCATGGGAGTTGTAGTTCAGCAACATCTGGAGGGCTGGAGTTTGGGGAAGCCTGCTCTAGACTCTAGTGGAAATAAAATAGAGTGGTGGGAGGGGACCCATTTTTATATAAACTATTTATAAAAGTTTAAGGGAAACTATCACCAGTTATCTGGCCCTCCACTTTCCCGCCACAGTCTCCACACAGAGCTAGGTGTTACGTTTCTGGCTGTGCTAATTAGCTCTTTGAGGATGTATGCCCCGCTTGGGGAACTGCTCTCCTAGTGTCTCCGTTTTTCAGCATACATTTTCTAACACAATGTATAGATGGAATTTGAAGCTCTTTTAAAAGTGCACATGACAGTTTTTATATCTTTGCTATCCGCTTGCCTTTTTCTCATTTGCGAGCTCAGCAAATGAATGATCAGCTGTGCTTTAATCTACAGAAACATCCAGTTTCTTCTGCAAAAGAAGACCAGATACAGAGGACGCAGCGGCAGGTGTCAGTAGGACCCTGGTTAGCTATCAAACTGTACTAAAATGTTTTGAAATATTACCATGAGGAAAATAACCCCTATAGTAGAGTTTCCATTGTTATGTTTTCTGTTTGGTCACAATTATAATATTCAGTGCTGTGCTATTATCTCATGTCAGTAACTGTCCCAAATGTCACTGAGACTCTGGAACATGGATTTCAGTCAACCTTTTATTCAGTCGCATGCACTTATCTGCTTCACTAGCTGATTCCTTCGTAATAACTCAACATGGTTTCCAACTGTCACACCGAGGCCAAGACATTCCATGGGTCATGTCCTGCTGTTCTTGCTTCAGTCATCTCAACATCTCTAAAAGTGTCTGCCAGTGCCCATATATTGGTTATAGATTAGGTTCTTGGAGGTGGTTTGATTAGTAGTAACTGTCTTTGTCAGCAATTTATTATTTTCTAAACACAATCAGCAGTGAAGTTGTTTTGAGATGGATTCAGTAAATCAGTCTATTTTAATTTGGTCCCCAACACAGTAAATAGTGAAAATAACTTGTGACTGTTTTTTGTGTATTTCCTCATAGTTTGCTCAGGTTTTGACTGTGTGACTATAAAAGCTGTAAGATAGCTGTAGTACTGCTTTAGCTTTATACTAGCAGTCAGTTTGCCCCGGGCAGCACTCTTGTGGGGCGTCTCTGGAGCATGCAAGTCCCATCCCATCCCCGTGTCTCATTTGAAAAGTGCCACCGGAGCCGTGAAATTTTCCTGTGGGCTGCAGCACCTGAGGCAAGTCTGAGACGTGCAGCCACAATGCTAATATTGCTTTGAGGTAATTAGGGGCCCTTTAATATTGCACCAGACAGGGCCCCGGTCACTTTGTGAGTTCCCACACAGCCTGCTGGGAGAAAGTAAGTTCAGGTCACTTCCTGCCATCAAACAGGGCATTGCTTGGGGTGGAGGGAGACTTATAAAGCCTAGTGTCGGACTCCCATCAGCCTAGGTGAGCCAGCTCCAACTAGACCTCAGAGGAGAGACCCTTCCTTACCCAAAACATAAGGAAACAGGAGGGTGGTAAAATATGTAAATTGTTATTTATTTATATATATATATATATATATATATATATATATATATCTGTATGTGTAAGTGTACCAGTGTCTGTGTGTATATGAGGTTGTGCATAACTCTGTGTGTGTGTCAGCATGTGTATCTGTGCGTGTCTGTGGGTATGTGTATATGTGTGTCTGTCTTTGTGTACCTTCGTGTCAGTGTGTATGTGTATCTTTGTATGTGGACCAGTCACTAGTGACAGCTGGGGGAAATAACAAAACTTGACAAAGGTAGCTCAGCCATATATAGTTACATAGTTACATAGCTGAAAAGAGACCTGTGTCCATCAAGTTCAGCCTTCCTCACATTTGTGTTTTGTTAATAGCCTCTACTTTATCTTAGTATATATTTTGACTGGGTTAGAATTTTAGTGAAATTGTATTTACCTAATTTTAGGGAACAGATGATTGTTATCATGTACATGTAGAAATTATTCACAGCTCTCCAACTTGGTTGTTGAGCAGGGAGAGCACACAAATCAGCGCTCCCTCACCGCCCACCTCGAACTAAACTGGCCGTCTGCCCCGGGGGGTTCAAAGGTGGCCAGCCAGACAGCTCTTGGGCCCCCTTAAAACGAGGCTAACAAGGCATTTGCCTGAGCATTTGGGGGAGGAATTTTTTGCCGCCCCTTGGAAAGTGACGCCTAAGGCAAATGCCTAGTTAGTCTTGCGGAGAATTCCTGGCTGAATACAGGGACAACAGTAAGGAATTTAACCACTATGCATTCCCCAGCATTAATACAGTTCAATATAGATGTTGTCAAAATTTATTTTTTATCAATTTCAATTAATTTTACCACTGTTATTTATTACTATTATAGTACTGCTTCAATATACACTTAAAATATATTATTGGATGATAGTTATTCATAGTATTCCCCTGTTGTTGTTTTTTTGTTCTAATTATTTTCTTTTCTGTATTGTTATTGAAAAAAAATATTAATAAAAACGATTTGAACAATTTAAAATATATATTTTATCACTATGGATTTAGTGGCATCTTTACACTTACAAGCAGTTAGCAAGATTTGGTGGGTATTTTCCTTTCCTTTTCAGTCCTGAGTCAATGATCCTGGAGGGGAAAAGAAAAATGAAATTTCACTAAAATTAGTAATTTTTCCAAGGGTGTAGTGAATAAACATCTGCAGCGAAATAGATCTACTTGGCATGTGGTGTACCTTGGCATGTGGTCACCCACTGATGACAAAATGCTGGGAGTTGCATGCAGAACCAAATGAATATCCAGTTACTCAATCCTGCAAAGGATTTGTTTTTATGTTATTTTGGTATTTAGAACTAAATATCCACATATCAACTGGCTGACAATTTGTTTTCCATTACCATGGCGCAGGGGAAGGGGTGTGTTAGAACCCCTGAGACACCAGAATTATTCTATCATCTTCGTTTCTCACTGGGAAGCAAAGGATTAGTACAGCCGCAGATGTTGTCTTCCCTCACAGTTTACTACAGGGGCCCCTTGCCCGAGACCAGAAGATCACACAGGATTGACTCAAACAGAGATCAGTTACATGATTACAGAACAGTGACCTAAAAAACAACAAACTTCAAAACATCTTTATTGGAACACTGTGACGTACATTGTTTTGGAATTGTACTGCATAATTCTGTGCACTTCCCAGCTCATGAATTCATACAGAAGGTGACCATGTTAAATTTTACAGAAGTAGATTAACTTCAAAATGAAAGAAGGATGTTCCGAGAAGGATTACGCGGCCTCTGGCAGATCAGCATCAGTGGAATATGGCTAACTCTTAGAGCCAGATTAAGGTTGCCCAAGGCCCGGTTGGTGCCACCTTCAACAATCCTGGACTCTGTTTCTGTCACTCCATGCACAAAATTCACCCATCACACGCACAACTTGCAACCAGCATACACAGTCTGTGTGTGAGTGGAGGAAGCTGAGTGTGCCTGTGTGTGCTGGTTACAAGTTTTGCATGTGATGGGTGAATTTTGTGCGTGGAGTGAGGAGTCTTGTAGGGGGAGATTCAGAGTGGCTGAATGGTGTGTGTATACGTGGTGTCTTATTGTGTGTTTTGCTCCTCTCCTGCTTACGTTTTCTTGTTAAACTGGATCCCTGGTGGCCTGATGAGGGATCATTGGGGTCTGCACCAATATCGGCTGCAGATATTTTTAAAAGTCCTCTTGCAGTTCCAACACTCAGTTAATGCCTCTAGCTGCACCTACCAGAGTCGCTTTATGAGTAATCCAGCTCTGCTCTCTCTTCTGAAGAACTAGAGATTATGTGGTAACACCTCACCCATAATTTGGCTGGTAACAAGTGGGTCTGGCATAAAGGGAGTTGCAGATCAACATTTTTTTCCAGGCATTCATTTTATTATTATTTAAGCACAAAACAGCCATTTTAAAAGTGACAAAGTACACATTGAAAAAGTACATTTCTATCACCAAGTTTCTATCACCAAGTACTGCTGCAATTATATTTTGCGAGAACGTGTACATCTCCACCAGTTATTAAAAACAAACTGGTTTTAATATATTCACAAAAATATAGTTTCCTCTAAGTTAGTACTGATGGCTTTGTTAATTTGTTCAAAGCCCTTTTAAACCAAAATAATAATGTAAGGTTTTCTGCATTCAAACATTTAACAAACACTTTCATCAACAGAGGTGTGGCTAAGGCAGATATTTCACACTTTCTTGTAGCCATACCAATTCATACCTGCATTGGTACTGCGTAAGCCTGCATGTGGTCAGCTGACACCTTCAGCCAATCACAGGCACCCATTGCTGCACAGGCTAATGCTTCTTCTGCATCAAAGAGGTATGGGTTGCTAGGGACTGATATTCAGCATTAAAATTTCTAAAACAGTTTAATACCTAATGGAAGGACAGTGCCATGGGACTCCAGACACTATAACCACTTCAATGAGAAGAAGTTGTTATGGTGCCTAAAGTGTGCCTTTCCTTAGCACATTTCCAGATGTTTGAAAAGTATAACTATGACGAACATTCAAGTCAAATGCTCACCACGTGATTGTCAAAGGTTTATGGCAATTACAGTGCCTTAATGACTGGAGTTCTAATATTCAGTGCCACCAACAAGAGATGACAAAAGCAAGTTATAAGGGTAGATGTTTATTTTTATTTCAAACAGTGGTGCAGTGTACTATTTAATCTTACAAATCTACATTTAAAGAAGGAATCTATATATTTTTAATTTTTTTATAAGTATCAATTCAGAGTTAGTAAATCCCGATGAGATCTTCCTTACATAAGTATCCCGGAACACAGAAATTACATAATCTAGTAAAACCTTCATTGTCAAGGCAACATGTAAAGAAAACATAAACAGTCATTAGAAAGTGTTCTGCACATTATGTATCCATAGGATTATTTAATAGGAATATTAGAAAAGACAGCATTGAAACTTACCAGAAAGTAAGAGCTGACGTTGGGTGTATCTGCAGTATAGAGAGCGTCAACAGGAAAGAAAGAAATAAGAGTGATATAGTTGCGAACCCTCCCTTCTGGGTAATTAAAGAGAGAGAATATTTACTACAACACCCATAGATTAGTGTGCAGACAATTACCTAGTAGTGGTTAAACTAATGTTGTGGTGTGGTTTAAAAATAATAAAAACAAGCCAAAAATATAACTATCTACTTGAGGTTTGTGTTGTTTGTTTTTCTCAGTTCAGTCGCCAAAATAAAACAAACTGACAGATTAAAGATCTAAGATCTAAATAATGGATTTAGATCTTATTAATATGTTATATTTTTTTCATTTGTTTCCTAAAAATAAATAAATGCTTAGCAAATTCTGCAGTATAAACCTTCCTTCTTTGCTATGCCTTCATAGCACTGTCTGAGCTGAACTGCTGGAAGCTGGGCTTTAACGATGTTAGGATTGCATGGATCAGACTGACACGTGAGCTGTATGCAGTGCTCAAAGTGAGTACTGCATATAGCCAGTGCAGTATTTAACATGAGGCTGACAAGGCATCTGTCATGGGCGGCACTTTCAGGGGGTGGCAAAAAAAAGCCGCCCCTAAACACCCCAGCAGATGCCTTGTCAGCCTCTTGTCCTAGGGGGCCCAGGATCTGGCCCGCTGGCAACCTTAGAGCCCCCCCAAGGCTGGCTTCTACTCATGTAGGAGGAGGGCGGCGACCAGGGCATTCTACCCTGAGCCCTTCCTGCTCAGCTCCCTTGCGCGCCTCACAGTGATGTCGGAGGTAGGATATCACGTCACTCCGGCCCCGGCATCTCTAAGAGGCGCGTGAGGGAGCTAAACAGTAAGATCAGAGCTTTCTTGCCGCTTGCATTGACCGCACGGCCAGCCACTCAGCACCACAGGAGCTCGTCCATCCGCTCAGCACCACATGAGCTAGCCCAGTGTGTGTGCTTGTCAGTGAGTTTGTATATGTGTCTGTCAATGAGTGTGTGTTTGTCATTGAGTGTGTATGTGTGTCTGTCAGTGAATGTGTGTGTCTGTCAGTATGTGTTTATGTAAGTGTGTGTGTGTCTGTTGCTGAGAGTGTGTCTGCCAGTGAGTATGTATGTGTGTCTGTCAGATAATGTGTATGTCTGTTAGTGAATGTGTATGTCTGTCAGTGAGTTTATGTGTGTCTGTCAGTGAGTGTGTGTAACTGGGAATGTGTATGTGTGTGTCAGTGAGTGTGTATGTTTCAGTGAAAGTGTGTGTTGGTTAAACTGTGTGTGCCAATGACTGTCAGTGTATGCCAGTGTATGCGTCAGTGAGGGCGTGAGTCTGTCAAGAGAAATTTAGATTTGGGGGCGGGGGAATCCCGAATTTTGTCATGCCTAGGGCAGCACAAAACCAAAATACAGCAAAATACACTACAGCAAATAGCCCCTTAAAACTGTGTAAATCATTACACCTGAGCTATTGCATTTTCTGTCTGAAAAGATTGTAAGCAGGTCAGTAAAAATAATACGCAGTGACTAGCCAGGGTCTGAGTCAGAATTCATTTTTTGGGTTATACTTAAAAGGCCTTAGGTAATGAGTAAAAAAGAGGCAACAAGAAAGAATTAAGGGAAAGAAAATGGGAGACTTACATGGATATTCAGCAAGAGCAATAGGATACGGTCGGTACGCAATCAGGGTCTGGAGATGGGGCTGCACGTGGGAACAAGGAAAAACTATACATAAACCAAATCCATTCCATGCAAACAAATACAGCTGCGAGCTGCTAAGGAACTGGTGCATTCTGTTGTAGCCATATGAAAACATACATCTGGTTCCTTTACACTCTACAATGTTATTCAGTATGTGCACAAACACACGGAACACAATGTTCTGTTATGTCATCTTGCGGCAGCCATTTTGGGGGCGTGTTTTTTTCACAGAAAACACCCACATGCCACCATTTGAATACACTGCGGTTCTGCTTCAAACTCTGCTATTTCCTCTGCCTCTTGAGACTCAGTTGGGACCAGGATTAAGGTTGGTGCTCTGCACTGTGGGGGTGGTTATCCAGTTGGGTCTTATCCTTTTTTCTGCTGAGCTGAACCTGTTGATGCAGGTTCTATTTTCCTGAGTGAGCCCAAGTGAGCCCCACTCTGTTTACAGGCCTGTGGCCTACGACTAGTGATACAGGTTCCCTCACCTGTCTGCTTACCTGCCCTCCTGGCCCCCAAGACTCTACTACCCTTTGTTCCAAGGTGTTTCAGTGTCCCACTCTCCTATATTAAGTCACCATGGAAGACTCCCAAGCACCATTAGATATCCAGGCTATGATTAGCTGCCTCTAAGCGCCAGTAGACATCTAGGCAATGATTAGTTGCGTTCTCCAAGGCATTTTCAATGGAATATGGCCCCGCTCAGTCCGCCCCAAAACAGACTCACTGTGTCGCAGATTCTGAGGACTCTGACTCCTCCAGAGACTGCTCTCACCCACAAAAGCGCCACTGGAAAGGCGAAAGCGGTTTCTTTGGCACTGGGACTCATGGCAATTCACCAGCCTCCCATTCGGCCCAGTGGTTCTTCACAAAGATGCTGAAACCGGTGGTTGCTCACCTTCATGCTGGAGGAGTTCATTGTATCATCTACTTGGACGACATCCTCCTCTTCGGCAGAGGCAAGGGAACGTTGCACGATCATACCACCTACATCGTCCAAGTGCTGGAATCGCTGGGATTTGTGATCAACAGACCCAAGCCCGCATTGAATCTTGCTCAGACAGTTCAATTCATGGGGTTCGAGATCGACTCCAGAAATTGTACGTCCTTCCTGCTTCGAAGATTGCGGCCATTCGCAGGTAGATCCGCAAGATACTACGGCAACCGTCCATTCCTCTCCGCCTCCTCGTACGGATAGTAGGCCTCCTATCCTCTTCCAAACAGGTGATATTTCCAGGACCCCTGAACTATAGAGCCATGCAACGCCTCAAGGCTCATGCCCTCTGCAGATAACCCATATACGATCAAGTGGTTCCTGTATCGGACGAATTCCACTCCAAACTCCAATGGTGGCTGAACTGCATGCAGGCTTGGAACAGCAGAGTTATATTCGGCACTTGCCCGGACTTTGTGTTGGAATCAGACGCCAGATGCTGGGGAGCCATCAACTGCCTGGAACTCCTGGCGGAATCATTCGCAATCCGCAGTCTAACGAAAGACAGATCATTTTATTGCATTCTGCTTCGGATGGATGTCTCCGTGGTGTGCTATATCAATCACCTCGGGGGCACCCACTCACAGGCACTGGCGGACTTAACGAAGTAGATCTTTGAATACTGCCTGCCTCACCCTGATGGCGGAACACCTACCAAGAGAATCCAATCTCACTGCAGATTGGTTTTCACGACATTGGAGGGATGGCAGCGACTGGCAATTGGACCCTCAGATCTTCGCATCACTGGAGTATCGGAAAGGTCCACTTCATCTCAACTTGTTTGCCTCTCGCAACAACCGCCAGCTACCGGAATTCTACAGTTGACTCCCGGACCCAGAGTGCGCGACGGTGGATGCTTTTCTGCAGACATGGCCAAGTCACGGGGCCTACAACTTTCCACCCTTTCTGCTGATAGCGAGGGTTCTACACCAGATCCACCTACAATGAGTGGCAGCACCACTGTGGCAGCGTCAACCATGGTTCCTGTTCCTACTGGAACGGTCCAGTTGGTGTGTGGGACGGGGCCTCTATCCCTTTACTGACCCTATTTCTGCGATCCTAAACTTCCTATCCTCTCATTTTTCCTCCGGGAAGTCTTACCGGTCTATTACGTAGTCCGTTTGGCCATCTCAGCTGCCCATGTCCTATGTCACAAGGGACGCCGGTGTGCCAGCACCCTTTGGTTTGTCAATTACTCCACGTTATTCGACTACAGCGCCCACTGGGCCCCAAATATACCCAACTCTTGGATGTTAGAGATGTTCTCCGGTTTTTACGTGAATGGCCATCAAATGATAAACTCCCACTGTGTCAGCTCACGGCGAAGTTTACTACCCTTCTCTGCTTGTTCTCTTTTTGGAGAGTTTCGGATGTTCGTGCTTTCGATGTGGACGCGTTTTCCTTCTCTCCTGAAGAAGTTACCTTTCAGGTTTCCCATCGCACGAAATCAGACTCAATCTTCTATCCGGTTTTCCCTGCTGACCCACAACTTTGTGTCATCGCAGCACTTCTTTCCTACGTTGAGGCTACTGCGAGGCTGCGGTCCTCTACATTGCGTCAGTTACTCATCTCAGTGTCGGTAACTACCTTAGCCAGGTGGGTTCGCAGGCTCCTGTCATTATCCAGTATTGACCCCAGGTTCGGGGCACACTCTGTACGCGGGGCGGAGGACTCCTCTGCCTTCTCGGCGGGTGCTTCTTTAGCCGACTTTCTTTGAGCTGCAGAGAGTCCACTTTTCGTACTTTCTTCTTTCGACCGTAGTCGAACGCAGCCTTTTCTCTTCTCTCTCAGCGTTGAAATTGCAAAAATGAAGCCTCCTGTCATGTTATAAAATTGAAGATTATGCTAGCTTTAGTGTACCTATAATCTTAATTTTAATAATGACAGGAGGTGAATATTTCCCACCCTACTTCTCAGTTCTTCCCCTTTCATGCTGTTTTTTTTCCAAATCATTCTTACTCTCTGCTTTCTGTGTGTTCCTCCTACTCAGGGACGGGGTTAATCGGTCTCCAATGTTTTCGCTAATATTGCAGTATGGT